AACTTGAGGGATCAACGATGCAATCGGAAAGGCGACCAGGAGCTAGAAGAGGAGTTCACGCATAAAAAGATGGAGATAATGTCGTCTGAAGAAGGTCTCGGAGGCAAAAATGGTGTTATGAAGTACCTAGGCGTTCATGACTTAAAACGTAGAAATGGTCGTGGCAGCACGGTACCATGGGGGTAGACTACCGATAAAGTCCGCCAACTTTTCCCTTGAATAATTGAGTGTGATATCGTGCCTGCTCTGAAAATGAAGAAAGTCCGATGACATGAAATCAAAACCTCTTGGATTTATACGGAGGATTTCTTTGCCTGGAACCATCGAGAATGTTTTTGACTGATTTCCATGTTGATGCAAAATAGTAATTGTGAAATCCTGGGCACGAACATCCTCAAGGAGTGGGAAGAGATCGCAAGTATGGTGTGAAGCTATCGAGAGCAAGGAGAAGAAAAGAATAAATGATATGCTGTTGGTAGTGTGCTTCTCGTTTGTCACATTGATGCGTGGGTTCGAGGTCAAAAAGAATCTTTTCGAATTGTTCATGTTGCCATCTAGAACCAATTGGGATAGCACTACTTGGCTGGGCTCTTTCACTCGAGCTTCTAGGAAATCAATGTCATTGAATCATTGCCAACCTCGAGCTCGAGCGACAGTCCTACAGTGCAAATCGCATTGCCCAAGTCGACAACTGGTGCTTGGATCTGCCCAAGAAGTCTGCAGAGCAAGTTCTCACGAGCTATGTCTTCCCGAGCTTTCTAGCTTGCGCCCTGCTGAAATATCGCTTTGTTCTTCAGGGACGATTTCCCGCCCTCGTACATGGTTCTGGCGTACAAGCTGGCTGGACAGGATTCTCAGCCCCACTTACATCTGTATCGTTGATCCCGAGAGCTATTCATCCAGACGATTTGTAAGTTCGTGCTGCGCAAAATATTGCTCAAACCGTTCTTTTGATGCGAGAACTTATGCCACAATTTGTATAAGTTCGTACGTGTCAAAACTTTCTTTTGATGCGAGAATAGATCCAAGAACTTATGCCATGATTTTGTATAAGTTCGTATTACGCAAAACATTGCTCAAAACATGCGAGAATCGCTCCAGGAACTTAAGCCACGAGCCATGCTACGCCCACCTCGACTTGTATTCGGAGTCTTCCTCCATATCCTCTTGAATCATCCAGGACCTGCCTAGCATATCTTCTGGAAACTTCATGCACTTGGGCGATCGCACGAACTCCTCCTGCTTGATCTGCTGACCTTGCCTGAGTGATAGCAGCGCAACGTTGTGCTCCTGCCGCATCACGACTCCAGCTCCAACACCATCCGCCCGGCTGATCTCCAGATTCATGAAAGGCGGTTAAAACCCAGCAGCCCAATCGAAGTGGAGAAAACGAATGTCAGCTTTGCCATTCTCGTTGATGCCTCTGACCATCAAATTATCATCGCGCATGTCACTATGAGCCGGAGATCCATCCTTGCGCTCGCCAACTTGTGAGGATATAGTACTGAGACACGTGGTGACACGTGGCGGATCTGACTCTCAACAAGCATAGTTTTAAAATGATGACGCTGAATGGAGGAGCAAGACAAAGAGCCCTTCGATCTGGTGTGGCTCTGATAAAAATCAAGATTGAGTTTTTCTGTTTATTTTCATATTGTGCAGGCAACCCTAAAATAGAGGTGGTGAATTTATAATTCCTGACGGGTCTTGAGCAAGCTTGGGTACTTTGGAACATATTCAACACTAGAAGATGAGCTCAACTTTTCTCAGTTGAGTGAGTGAGACAGGTTTCCCAATGGTTTAGCATTAGCTTCCTTTTTTGTGATCTAGCCAGTGGGGGATTTCTCTATCTCACAAGAAAAACTCACTAGAAACTTGATCTGCCACGTGTCACCGCGTGTCTCAGCCCCGCTTGGAAGTCCGGCTCCGTTCTAGTCGCGGAGTGGACGAGTGCTAGAAGAGCATCCGAGACGATGTCGCGGACGCCGAGATCCGTGCTGGTGACCGATCGAGAAGTTCCCTGGTCAGAACTCTGGAGCTCCTCGCAAGTCGCATAGAAGATAAAAAATTGCCAATCCAGAGATCATTGGTTCCCTCTGTAGAACAATTTGGGGATTCGCCTACTTCGGTTTAGATGGCAGTTCGGACTTTACATTTTTAATTTACAACTTTTAAAGAGAATTCCTGGACGTAGATGCCAAGATAGTTGCTCCATAGATCATCTCGTCAGGGTAGAACGCGGATGAGGCCTCAGCGAGCCGGCGGAGGTCTAGCGAAGAACTTGGAGGCCCGTATGTATATTCTCCCGCGCAAATGTGACCGAGATGGCGGCGTTTGGATCCTCCAAAATGGCTCTTCGACCAGACCTAGGATCACCGCCACTGACGCGCCAGCACCGCTCCTCGCCCATGGTGATAAACCCTAAATCCTACATTATACTCGAAGCTTATCCCAGCTAGGGCTTTTGGTGTGGAAGGAAGATGAGCGCCACGACTCGCGAGCAGAAGGCGCTCGAAGCAAAGGTCTCGGATGTCTTCCGGAGCTTCGCCAGTGCCGGCTATCGCAATCGCGCCTTCCTGTAAGCCTCGAAATCCTCTGGACAATCTTCTCTTTCTCGATTCCTGTCAATGCACTTCGTGGCTCTAGGTCGGAGCTATGGCGGGAGGAGCATCTGGATTATCTCCTCAAAGGCATGACCCGCCTGCCGGCTTCCTTCACGGTTCTGGATTCCAGGTTCGTGACAATGCGTGAGAAACATCGGCTTTGCTCACTCCACTCTTCTAGTCGGCCATGGCTGTGCTACTGGATTGTCCATTCTATGGCATTGCTCGACAGGCAGCTCGATCCAGCGCTCCAAACAGACACGATCGAATTTCTCAAACACTGCAAGGTTCTTATGAAACTCTTTTGTTTCTCATATCGACTTTAAACACACGATCTAGGATCCTTTGGGCGGCTATGGAGGTGGACCTGGACAAGTAAGGTTTTCTTTCTACGAAGGTTTCCTTTCTTCATTTTTTTTTTCCTTACGACTCCCTGCTATTTTATATAGATTGCACATTTGGCAACGACTTATGCTGCTGTTGGCACGCTTGTTTCTATAGGAGGTGCTCAAGCTCTCTCGTCTATCGATAGGTAATAGTGATATGTGACTCCGGTTTGAATTCAAAAGAGACATGCTCGGCAGTTTTTGGCAGGGAAAAGATCCTGGAGTTTTTGTTGCGGATGAAGGATCCATCATCCGGAGGCTTCAGGTAAGCGCTGACACTATCAGATTAGTGAGTGAGTGATAACTTGGCTTCGGGCGTGTTTCTAGACTTCATGACGGTGGAGAAATGGATGTCCGTGGGTGTTACACTGCTATTTCGGTATGCTGTGAATGCTGAACTATTTGAATCTAACAGTTTCAGCAGGTCGCATACCTGTTGAATATTCTCGTTCCTCCGCTTCTGGAAAAACTCGGAGAATATGTTGCGAGGTTTTGTACTTGTTTGTGTCTTTTCTTATAATGACGATTCTAGCAGTTGCCAAACTTACGAAGGTGGAATTGGCGGGGAACCTGGTGCTGAAGCACATGGAGGGTGTGGCTTGATATTTGTGTTTTAAGTCTGTGCTAATGCTCCCTTCGTTTCAGATATACGTACTGTGGTCTAGCTGCTCTTATTATGGCTGATCAAGTGGATTCACTAGACTTGCCTGGTTTATTGGTAAGCACTAGATTATGCTTGGACGCAACTGACATTGTTTACTTTTCTAGAACTGGGCTGCGTTTCGTCAAGGAAAGGTCGAAGGAGGCTTCCAGGGCCGCACAAATAAATTAGTCGATGGATGCTATTCGTTTTGGCAGGTGCGGCTTTCTTTTATTCGTTTTCTAATGAATTATTGTTCCTCCTTACTTTTATTGTATGCACAGGGTGGTGTATTTCCATTGCTGCAGCAGGTCGTAACGAAACTTATCTCGCAACAAACTTCCGGATCTTCTATCATGCATGAAGAAATTGAAGACGATTCTGACACAGAGATCGGTGGTATCATGCCCGCGGACATTGAAACCTTCACGGCCGAGAAGCTTTTTCCAGTGAGGAAAGCCAGAAATCAGCAACACAGGCCTTTCCACAATCCCACTGCTCTTCAAGGATATATACTTTTATGCTGCCAGGTATTTTGTTTATCATTCGATTGACCGTTTTAACTCCCTTGTTTTACTTCTTAGGTGCTCAATGGCGGTCTGATAGACAAGCCAGGGAAATCTAAAGACTATTATCATACATGCTACTGCTTAAGCGGGCTCTCTACCGCTCAGCATTGTCTCTCGACGAATCCAGAGGATCATCCTCCGTCAAGTCATGTTTTTGGACCTTACAGCAATCTTCTGGATTCGACACACCCGCTCTTGAATTTCCACATGAAGCGCTACATGGAGGCAGTGGATTACTTCGTCTCTAAAGCTTAAACAAGCTACTGCTGGCCTACCGACACTGGTACTCTCTTCTAGTGTTGGTACTTTTAAGCTTTTAAAATCTAGGCAGCAGCAGTACTACCAACAGATAGACTCACGTCCTTGTCCAGACAGCTAAAGGTTTCGTGGCCTTAATGGCACAGGGAGCCTATGGAAACAATCGATGGAGGTTAAACAAAGGCGAAATGCTATCAGGTAGACTGCTTTCTTTTGATAATCTTTGAGCTTTTCTAAGTGTGATCGCGATGTTCAAGACAGGTGTCTGTGTCTGGTCACAACATTAAAAGCTCTGGTAAGCATTGTCGTTCATTTCTGTGCTGCATATATATTCAGTATAGAAAGCAGTGTAGTTGATGAATCGGGCATTTTCATGCTGTTGTGATCAATAGTTTCTTCACGATTGCGCAACATCTTCTGTAAAAAGGACTGGTGAATCCCTTCTGACTCCCGAGTCCCTCTTGAGGTCCAGAGGACAATGTGTGAATAATAAGTCTGGTTTCCTTTTTCTCTAGGCGTGTCGGTTTGATTTCTAGCTGTCATCTGGGACATTAAACCCCGAAAACAAAAGACATTTCGTCAAAGTGCATAGGTAGGTAGGCAGTGTAACTTTCTCTACGTGAGATCTTGGTGGTTTGTATCCAGAATTCTCGCAGAGGTAAATCTCAAGCGAACCACTACAATTCTTCTAAATGAAAACTGACAGATGTTTCGGTGCTGCAGGTGATGGGTCCTTCTCTCGCATGAACAGCACTGTTCATAAAAATTTCTCCGTCTTTCTTGCAAGAGAGCTATCGTAATCGATACGAACTTCTCGTTTCCGGTAGAGGCAAGTCTTTCTCAAAGCTCAAAGTGCCTTAGTTTTTCCATTGTGTGCAGCGGCACCAGCCGAAATGTATGCACCATAATGGCAGTCGCGTTGTCCTGAAAGCACAATCCACCCACTTCGGCATAATCAACAGACCCATTGCTTTCCGGGGGATTACTAGATCGTTCACGAGAATGGTCGAGCGGAAGGTACCGTCTTTCAATTACGCCTTAAGTGGTTCTCGGGAAACTTTTCTTGCAGTGTTCTATAAGTCTACCGACCACTGAGACAAACAAGAATCTGTCCTGGGGGGATATCATGAATCAAGTTGCAAAAGATATGTTCTAACCGTAGCTACAGCAGTTCTTTCTTTTATGTGTCCAACAAAGGTATGAGCGAGTAGAAAGCATGCATGCAACGAACTTGCATGGCCCTTCTGACCGGAAGCGCTTCTTTCTTTTCAACAGCTAGGCTGCACAGGATTGTTGGGTGCACACTGGAATTTTAAAGAGGTCCGAATGAGATGAAGCAACGGCTCAAAGCGGAATATGCTACTGTAAGGCAACAGAATATGCACCTTTCTGACAGAATATGTTTTGGCCTCGCTGAAACAGAGCTGGGAGACGGGAATCTATTCACTCTTTTTGCCAGCTGAGTGCATACAGTATTGCTGCTGCCTCATCCCTGGCTGTTCTTAAACCCGCTCGAAAACGCCTTGTGAGTTTGTATAGGCTGTAGTGTAGTCCTTTCTGTGTATAGTCCTCTCTTCCTCTTTGTTTGTATAGTGTACAGGCGATTTCGATCCAAGGAACTTCCGGCTCGTCTGCGGAGGTTCGTCTTAAAGTCATTCTGTGGTTCCATGGCCACTTAGTTTTGCAGAGAGGAGAAATGGCCTTCCTGGCAACAGCAGCAGCGGCAGCAGCAGTGATCACATTCTTCTTTGCCATTGTCAATGTGGATGCTCACCAGAAGATGTCATCGCACGGGATCATTGGTAAGCAGCAAAGATTTGTGGTCCCAGATTTGAAACACATTCTACATTTTCAGGGAATGCTATGGACGAATCGTCCGGAACGGTAGTGGTGAGTTTCTAGGCGATCATGTCGCAAGAGCTTGTTAGTGACGACTGCTTTTTCAGTGGAAGGTCGAGAAACAGGGACTTTACGACTATTTCAAATGCGCGAGCAGCACCAGTAGGAGCAGCAACGCAGGGCATTGCAAGAAACACAGGATCATCCAACGACTTCTTGCCGAATCTCCAAAGTCGAGTCCAAAGTCTGGATCGGGAACCAAGGCAACATCACCTTCTTCAACGCCAGCATTGGCCACTGCTCCATCCACGAGAGCATCTGCGCCCTCCACTGGCACTGTACCAACGGCTCCGGTTGCGTCTCCAGTTGTGTCTCCAGTTGTGACTGTCCCGGTTACGGCTCCAGTGACGTCTCCACCTGTGGCAACTTCTCCAGTTGCGACACCACCCGTGGTTATTACGGCTCCACCAGTGGCTACTCCAGTTGTAGCTCCTCCTGTCACTACTCCGGTTGTGGCTCCACCCGTGGCGACTCCGGTAACGTCACCACCTTTGGCGACTCCAGTGGCGTCTCCACCTTTGGCAACTCCAGTCACTGCTCCGGTTGTCTCTCCACCTTTGGCTACTCCAGTTACTGCGCCTGTGATAGCTCCTCCAGTCGCGACTCCAGTGTCAACCCCACCAGTGGCTGCTCCAGTCGTTACGCCCGTGGCTGCGCCCGTGGTGACTCCAGCGCTGGCACCAGTTGCGGTTCCAGTGACAGCTCCAGTCGTGTCCCCGGTTGTTGCTCCCGTGGCGGCTCCAGTTATACCTCCTGCGCCAGTCTCGTCTCCAGTTGTGGCTCCAGCTCCTTCTCCGAAGAAGCACAAGAGATCCCCGGCGCCAGCTCCAGTTCCAGTCCTGGGACCGCCGGCACCTCCTCTTTCATCACCGACATCTCCAGCTACCTCAGCGGAAGGCCCTGACTTTGCACCGATCACTACTCCTGTAAGTTCTTGTTCTTCGTTTTTTTTTTGTACATCCTGACTTTGTCCGCGTTCTCTTTCAGAGTGGAGCTTTAAGATCGATGCCTGGATCGCTACTTCTCATGGCGTTTTCTCTGCTGGTGGTATTTGTGTGATTTGTTTTTGGGCAGTTTTGGCAATTTTTTTCTTTCTTTTTTATTTTTAAATTTCTTACCAGGGCGTTCTTGCATGATAAAATGTTGAAGTAAAATAATCGTTACCAAACCAAACATGGATCGAGGTGGCAATAGTTGTTGTAAAAGGCGTTGATTTCAGATTTTATGGGGTGCTTACTAAAATCATAACAAGCAGCAACTAGCTTAGAACCATGTAGTCTGTCAGGTTAGCATGATTGTTTGATTGAAACTCAGCTGTCCATCTATATTTTGGATGTAAGCATCCACGCTAATGCTGGATGGAATTGGTTTGTTATGTTGTTTCACTCTGCAGACAATACACCATTTGAATACAATATATCACCACAAGAGTCTGAAAAATCATCATAGCCCTCCATTTTAATGAGTTAGTAGCGGAGTTTGCAAATAATTGATTGATTTGCTAGCCAAAGGTAAAAGATTAAGATAAAATATGGTTCTTGGTATTGTTATTATTTTGGCATCTTAATGATGAAATCCACACAATAGATTTCTACAAGATAAAAAATCTGACCACAAATGTGGTTTTGCCAACTAACATGTCCAAACCTGAAAGATATACATCAAAATCCTATGGTAGGGTGGTTGCACCTTTCATAAGATATAAAACTCTTAATGTCATTAGGTACTCTTCAACAAACTTTTCCAACACAAAATTGTTGTATAGTAAAATTTACACTAAACTACCATAGAATACACCTTTAGGAAAACTAATGCATCAAGTGGCTTCACCCTTTATCTTGTTTTATATGTAGTTGAGTTGACAAGTTAGAATCAAAAGTTGTTTCATCCAACCTAAATGGTCCTTGTTATTTTTATATTGCAAAATTTATAAGTTTAATTTACCGTCATTAGAATATTGATTATTTTTCTTACCTTTCTACTTGTTCTTCAGTTGTGAATAATCCACTTTGTAATGCCTAAGCTTGCTGATAACCTTATTTATAATTCTTTATAAAGAGTTTTAACTTCTTTGACCCTTTGTATCCAAAATAATTACCAGGTTATGATGTTTGTTATTATCTTTGTGTTCTCGATGGTTATCACAACAATCTTAATTGAAAGACTCCTCAAATGCTTGCAAGATATATACTTTTCATTGTCAAGTTGACAATCTATATCAAAGAGTTCCTCCAAACTTTTTGTAGGCTGTGAATGATAGAAGTGTTCTCTCACTTTAAAGACCATTTGTTCTAGTTCCTTAATTGGACTATAATTAATTAAAAAGGTAAATTTCTCATTTTAGTCCCCTGCCATTATTCTCCATATCATAGTGAGGGGCAAAATATAGAGCAAATGCAACCTTAAACTTGTCCATGGCAGAGACTATTAGTGTTTAAAGGCATGAGTGCTTAACAAGAATTTACATGCTTCTTGCTATTTCTATTCTTATTTTTGCTAAAATTCCAAATAGTTGGCATTCCTTAGCATTTCTTAGTTGCATATTACAGCATATAAAATATCACACATTTATTTCATGTTTGTGGAGCTTTTGATAATTCCTATCTTATAAATTGTGGTTACCATCAGAGACTCTCCATAACTAAATTAAAAAAAAACATTTAGAAATTTTTATATATTTATTGTATTAGAGTTAGGATTAGTTTCTTTCTCAGGGCTATAGCAACATATTAGTGTTTTTTAAAATCTCACTACCCTATATTTTAATTAGAAACTTATTTTAAAGTAATATTATTTTAATATTTATATTATAGATAGTAATTTTTATTATTAGTAATTATTCTCTTACTTTTAGCTAGGTCTGGGCTAAAATTTTATTTTTCTTAAATTATTCATATTCTAATTAAAAACATATAACTGATTATGTGTTTTATCATTTAGGATATTAATAAATTTAGAAAATTAAGGTTTTAAGAACATTTATATTATATTACGCTGACTTAAACAAAAACTGATGAAAAATATATGAGAATAATCATTAATAATAAAACATTTGCAAAACTATGTAACCTCTATATTTATAAGAATTATTTTTAGAATTTATTCATTTAATTTTGTAGTAATAAATTAATATTTTCAAAATCCTAATGTTATAAATGTATTAGTATTCCCAAGTAAAAAAATAGGTTAATAGATTAATAAGTTAGGTATTATTATGATGGTAGAGAAAGGGTGAGGAAGAGCACCAGGTTTAGAAACTTTAATATTTGTATTATACTTTGGTGTTTGCAAAACATGGTGAATAGAGCTGTGCTAGAAAGCGGTAAAGCAAGACATGAGAAATTCATGTATTAGAGACAGAAAAATGTTTAACTTATGGTTGGATTACCACTTAGATTTTATAGACTATGATCAGGGTTAGCTCAGAGCTTATGTTAAATAATTTAAAACTTTGTTCTTTAAATATAGTAGGGTTTAGGGTTTAGGGTTTGGATTTCATCCATAGAAAAAGAATGGTTATGTTGACTGGTCCCCAAGGCAATTTCTTCATCCATGCAACTACATATATCCTTAGAATAATTGCTCATGGGCTTGGGGACTAGAACTATGGGAATTTATTTGTCATGTTCTAGGGTGGTGGGGGGTAAAGATGCTAGTATGAGATTGGAAACAACTAACCATTACATAAGGCCCCCAAAATGATTAGCCTCTAGATAATTATGATAGTGAAATAGAACATGATTAATCAATATATCCACCTATGATAAATACATATGGCTATTGTAGTAAAAAATCCCATCTACAAATGAAAAGAGTTTACAAAAATACCACCTTAGCATCTTGAGCTTAAAGAACACTTAATTAAATTCATTAAGCATTTTACACATATAATGACAAAATTATATTTGTAGCTATATCACATGACAAACATGAGATAAAGCATCTACCCTTATATTCAATTTCCTTAGATGATTCTAGATAATAAACACCTCAAACTCTATGAATTTAACCCTCCAATGAACTTATATAATATTTAATTCATTCTGTGTGTATATAGATATATAAGACATTTGTGCTCCATCAATATCACAAACACCACACTATAAAGATAGTGTTTCACTTCTGCAAACCATGAATAACTTTTACACATATGTGAAATATTGCTACTTCACAAGATTCAAAGTCCTTTCATTAGAACTCCCCCAATATATAATCATCACACCACAAGTCACGTTATAAGGTTTTGATACATTACCAATGTGAAGCACTAAATCTTATTCATTTAACAATTATTTAACACTTTAAACCTCTTATGTCTTTCATTTAAATGGCATATTCAAGCGAATGCAACAACCATGTCAAATAAATAGCCACCTCCTTAAACTTATGTTAATAGCCAAAAATATTATATAATTTGGCCATTAAAGTTGGTGTAGGGGAATCCTCCACCACAATCAACTTCCTTGAATATATCTTAACATTCATAAATATCACAATATACTTTACCTCTAACTTTATAATTCTTATTTGCTTTTTTTGCATTAATTTTTTTAAATTTGTGTAGATAATGCTTAAACACCTTTGTTATCAACCAAGTAAATGTAATTAATACATTTGTCAAGTTAAACAACATAAATGTAAACTCAAAATGACTGAAGCTTATGTTGAATACCATATTGGAAATAGATATGTTTATCTATCACAATCTTGATATTCACTCCTCATATTAAATTTTAAATTTTGGGGTTATTTAAGATATCATTCATATACAATGTTTTTTCTTATTCAAGGCATGATGGTCAATAAATATATGTATTAATCTAGCCTTCTATTAAGAAACATTAGTGTGCCAAATAAAACTTACTTTGCTAAATAAATCTAAACTTAAATAAATTAACTTATTGTTAAGTTTTTTTATTCCTTTACATAGCTTAGCTAAAATGAATATTAGTAAATTAACTTTGTTTATGGCTCTAGAATAATTTCATATTCCACATCTTGTAACAAAATCAACCTATAAAAAAGTTTAGATAAAAAAACATTAATAAATTCCATGAGTATTTCCCATGTTATTATTTCTCCCTCATATGTTTTTGTTTTTTAAGTCATGAAAAAATACAATGTTGAATTCCATCTCCAAATTACATATATTTGGCACCACTATACTTTCCCAAGATATGTTTAATATTCCGTTTTATCTCTAAATCCACTATAATAAAATATTTTATAGTGACTTGATATAGATGAAATTTGAAACATATATAAACATGTTAAACCACAAAACTTAATCCATTTAGTGGTCTAAAATTAAAAAACCATGCATTTATTAAGATTTTCTGGATTATGTTTACATTTTTCTCTTCCAACTTTTGTTTTGCTATTCGTACATGACTATTTCAACATTCTTTTGAAAACACAATGTTCAAGCGATGATATTATCTTAGGGCTTTTATAAACCTGATCGAAGTTCAAGCAGTCGGCAATTAACTTGATAACTTGAAGCCCACCACTCTATCATTCTTGCACGAGTTCAAGAAGAAACCGTTGATACTATAGATCAAATTCCCGCATAATTACTCAGGTATTCATTCAAGCTAATCGAAGCTTTTTCCGGCCCCTTGCAGTCGGCATACAGCGTCCCACTTTCATATGACAAATCATTGCAAGTTTCAAGCAAATCGTCACAACCCTGCAGTGTCATAGAGAGCTTAATAGCTAGTGATCAGTTTGCAAACTACTTACCAAGCTGCTCTTCCAAAATACCGGTACCATGCTTAGAAATAGATAGAACCACACTGCCATGCTACAGAGATTCAAATGTAAGAAGTTAGAACCCAATCCAGCATATGAAAGTTACAAGGACGAAAACAGCAGCCATGAATGCCAAATTATGATTCCTTTCGTGATTTTCGAGACTTGGACCAAAGAACTTCCAGAGCTGAGTAGATTTTACCTCGAGAATTTAGAGAGCACAAACAATGACAACAATGACAGGTCGATCAACCAGTCTTTTTTTGCGTGCTCTCCTTTCCTTGATCCACAGGAACATTGTGTCTCATCACGAATGGAGGCCGGCATTTCTTCGCCAAGATCTCATTCTGGATCCTCTCCATGTACATCTCCAAAGTCTCCACTTCCACAAGCCTCTTCACCTGCAAAGAATTCACAAAATAAACTTCCATTGGCCCAAGAATGTAGCTACCTGCTCGATGAGCCCCAAAACAGTGGGCGTGTTTTTCACCACCACCGAATGCCCTCGCTTTGGAATCCCCAGCGTCTTCACCAGCGCCGTCCTGTGCTTCTGCTTCGTCCCCGGCAGGCCACGGACGAGCTTCACAACCAAATGCGTGGTCCACGCCGGCTTGCTCATCGCGCACAATCCCAGAACCTCGAATCGATCGAATCGAAGACGCGAATCGAGAGAAAATACTGTAAAACCCTAAACGAAGAACCGAAAAGAACCCTAAAATGAGACCCCTGTTTTAGGGCTCTTCCGCAATTTCCGGGACAAGGTAACTTCGAGTTTATATAGCCTTTAGACTTTACAGAAAGCTCTACCTTTATAAGCTACCTATAGCTCTCTCTTTCCATCTTTTTTTTCCCTTCTATATAGTGCTCTGGGACCACTGAATGTTTGCCCTGCGTGGTGCCTTCTGTGAGAACTTTTGGATCGATCTAGCTGGTGTTCTTCATCATCGAAACTCTTCTCGACCCTTTCTCTAGTGCTGCGTCCACTGGATGCTCTTGAGATCCACCCCGTCCTTGACCATCTCCCACAGCGGGCTCATCTCCCGCAGCTTCTCCACCTGCGTCACCGTCAGCTCGATCGCCCTGTCGATCTCCTCCACCGTCGTGAACCTCCCGATCCCAAACCGGATCGAAGTGTGAGCCATGTCCTCGTCCACCCCGAGCGCTCGCAGCACATACGATGGCTCCAAACTCGCGCTCGTACACGCGCTGCCGCTCGACACCGCCACCTCCTTCAAGCCCATGAGCAAGCTCTCGCCCTCCACGCACGCGAACGAGAGATTCAAGTTCCCGGCGTAGCGGTGCTCCATGCTGCCGTTCACCACCACCGCCTGGAGCTTCGCCGTGAGACCATCGTAGAGCCGCTTCTGCAAGGCCTTGATGTGCTCCTCGTCGTAAGCCATCTCCTTGAGAGCTATGTCGCAAGCAGCTCCCATCCCCACCGCCAGCGGCGTCGCCACCGTGCCACTGCGAATCCCCCGCTCCTGTCCGCCACCGCTCATCTGTGCTTCCACTCTCACCCTCGGCCTCCTCCGGAGATAGAGCGCTCCCACGCCTTTGGGTCCGTAGATCTTGTGACCACTCAGCGACATGAGGTCGATCTTCATGTCGTTCACGTTGATCGGGATCTTCCCGGCGGCCTGAGCCCCATCGGTATGGAAGAAGACTTTGTGCTCGCGGCAGAGCTTGCCGATCTCCTCCACCGGCTGGACGACGCCGATCTCGTTGTTAACGGTCATGATCGAGACGATGGCGGTGTCGGGCCGGATGGCGGCCTTGAGCTCGCCCAGATCGATCAGCCCATCTTTCTTCACCGGGAGATAAGTCGCCTCGAATCCCTCCTGCTGGAGGTGGCGGCACGAATCCAGCACGCACTTGTGCTCGGTCTGGGTGGTGATGACGTGCTTCTTCTTCTCCCGGTAGAAGTGCATCACTCCCTTGAGCGCGATGTTGTTGGACTCGGTTGCCCCGGACGTGAAGATGATCTCTTTCGCGTCGGCGCCGATGAGCGCCGCCACTTGCTCGCGCGCCTTCTCCACCGCCTCGTCGCTCTCCCACCCATAGAGATGCGTTCTCGAGTGTGGATTGCCAAACTGGTGGAGATAGTAGGGGATCATCGCGTCAAGAACTCTCGGATCCACCGGCGATGTCGCTTGCATATCCAGATAGAGCGGCCGCCCGGCAATCCTCACCCCCTTCATCTTCACTCCATCTTCGTCCGTGGAATCGTCGATTGGGGAGGCCGCCGCTGCCGCGGCTGTGGATTGAGACCTACCGCCATAGCCGCTACTCAAGAACAAGGCGCCAGGAGGAGAAGTGGTGGATTCTAGCGGCGATGAGTAGCTGAGAGCGCTCCTCCGCCACGCCGCCACCGCCGATCTTGCCGCAAAACGCTTCATCGCGCGCTCTACAATCCCTAGGTCACATTATTGTAAAGGATAAAGGAAGAATCTACTACAGAGAGAATATGCTATTTCTTTCAGGGTATATTTTTTAATTCCAGGCAAGCCCTAAGTTTGATATTCTTCTCATGGCGCATGGCTGCGCCTGGCGGGAATGTCGTTCGTCGCTAGGGCATTGGAGCTCGGCGATGGGCCGGAGCGATGCGAGGAAGGGAGCTAGGAGGGGATTGCTGCTGGGAGCATCGATTTTCTTTACAGGGTTATGCGCCGTGGAGAGGCGGACAGCGCTCGCCTGGTTTCCGGCCAAGATCGATGCCGCCAGGGCTCCACAGCACCCGTTTGATGCTGCCGATCAGAGGCTCAGGAATGCCGCCATGACATTCGAGCAGGCGCTTCGATCGAGCACTGTGAGTCGTGAAACTAGTTTTTTCGTTTTGTGATTGAGTGTAATGGTCTTTAAGGTTGAAGAAGAGGAGAGGCTGTGGACGAAAGTGATTGATAGCTGTGAAGGCGTGGATGCCGAATGGGTTCCTGATATTTTATCTCGGGCTTACGGCAATAGAGGAAATTCACGCAGCAGACAGGCATTCTTCTCAAATATTCTTGAATCAAGCCCAGTGTTTTTATACATTTTTTTCCTTTTTTGCAGGGAAAAATCCAGGAAGCTCTCGAAGATTATGATCGCTCCATACTTCTGGCTCCGTGAGTAACTCTTGCTTAAGATTGGCAAGTATGACTACTCTACGTTGATTAGATACGCGGTGGATCCTGTGTTGAACCGAGGAGTAGCGTTGGAAAGTCTGCGCATGTTTGAGAAAGCCACGGCAGACTACGTAGCTGTTCTTCAGAGTCAACCAGATGATCCCGCTGCATGGAATAATCTTGGAAATGTTCAGGTGCCTCTTCTTTCTTTGTTTTGAATTTCTTCATTGAGTTCAAGTTCACGTGATATTTCTGTAGGGAGCTCTTGGCCGCTGGAGCGAAGCTCTTAAGTGTTATGGAAAGGCCACTAAGCTCTCCCCTCAATATGCGTTTGCTGCTGGAAACTATGCGTTGGTTAGTGTCATGCTGCTTTGGAAATTTTATGTGCTGTTTACTACTTTCAGGCTCTCTATCAAACAGGCCGAGAAAATGAAGCAATCAGACAATTTCGATCTCTTTTGAGAAAGTATCCGGAGGTCAGTTCAAGAACATCTTTTGTAACTTTCTGATAACAACTTCTGATCGACGACAGTTTCCAGATATAAGAGCAGCACTAGCTGTTTCATTGTACGCACAGGGCTCAAGAGCAGAAGCGGAAACCAACTGGTCGCGGCTTGAGGTCAGAGTCTAATGGCGTTGGAACCAAACGTTAACTTCATTTTCTAACCTTTCAGGATGGACGCTACAAGGATCGAAGCTGGATTCGAAATACTCGCAGATGGCCGCCCAAGCTTGCAGATGCTTTGGATGCCTTTCTAGAGATACGGGTGCCAGTTTAAGCAGGAATCATGTTCTTGACGAAAACAAACTTATAAAGGTCAGATTCTTCAATGGTTTTCATTGCGGCAGATTTACATATATTAACAGTTGTGTTCTGCAGAGCTGGAAAAGTTGGAAGAATTATCTATGAAGTTAAGTAGGATAATACGTCGAAGCTATGTCGGGAGCTCTATCTGATGAGGCTGTAGGCCAACTCTTCAACAAGGCTATTGAAAATACTTACTTCAACCTCGGCACCAATCTTTCGCAAGTCGTTGCTGGTGTCCATCCACTGATCGCTTATATTCACGTCTCTCTCCACCAAGTTCTCGAGGGAGTAGTCGACGGTGTCATATTCGTGGCGGTACAGGGAGATCGCCTTGTCGATTTCGTGTAGCAAGTATTTCCCCGAAGGAATGGGCCTGATTCCTTCCTTTCCTGTGGTAAGTGATGGACGGTCATCCCACAGGTGCTGAAACTTCTGGGACAGGACCTCGTTGACAACGTCGAACAGCATCTGCCTGTGCAACGTCTCCGGGCGTCTTTGTACCTGGGTAAAGGTTCTGCCAATCTTGAGCTTTCTCTGACTTCGGGAACTTCTTCTCTTTCCAGGTTGACAGGGTGACGGTTCCTCAGAACAGACGTAGTCCTCCTCGAGCTTGGCAAAGAGATATGGATCGATGGGATAAGTAGGGGAGTGCCAGGCGAATAACGAGCCGAGGGAGTTTGAGAAGCCTGAGGCGTGGATGAGCTTGGAAATGTATAGGTGGTCTTGGCTGGTCGGGGAGCAGTGTCGACTTCTGAGGGGTGCCAAGGATGAAAGATCAGCTTTTGCAGCCGCCGGGGAACTAGCAGGAACAAATTCTTGTTTTTCGGTCGTCGCAAGGTGTCCGACGTTTTGAGTTCTTCCAGACTCGTCCAACTTGAGACGTTCAAGACGCATTTGAAGTTCTGCAAAGCGAAGCGATGGCTGCTCAGTATGGAACTATCAAGGCTAAGAGGCTGAGGATTTACCTTGCAAGTCGGAACTGGCATCTTCGAAGCTTACAGGACTGGGACTTTCTTCGATGAACCCCCTCTCCAAGACGGAAACAGGACTTGGTTGCTCGGACTTCTCTGTATGGATATCGGACGACGTCTCGAGATGGTCCAGACCTCCAGTAATATCGAGGGACAGGAACCTTGGGGACTGATCGAACTGAGCAAAGTAACTCTCGTCAGTGGAGGAAGGATGAATGGCAACGGCAGTTCTTACCTTGTCGGAATTGCAACGTTCGTAGGAGCCGGCGAGCTGGGCCTCCGTTTTTCTGAAAGTCCGGATGTAGTGGTCTTCGAAGGCAGAGGAGACCGAGTGTTCGATCGTCCTGCATGCCACCTGTTGCTTCTCTGGGGACGGCTTGACGAGTTCTGATGCGTCCGAAGGTGTCCGGGTGTGGCTCTTCTTCTTTCCCAGCAGGCTGCTCTTGAGACTCGAGAATTTTCCTTTGGGAGTCGAAGCAGTCGAAATGCTACTGCTGGCATTATCCGGGATCGATGAACGGCTGCTACTGCAGGAATGTGTTCGTTCGAGAACTTCGGCTGGCCCCGGACTTTGCTCCTCCACAAGACTGGAAACTGACTTCGACCTTACCAACAGCCTTGGAGAGTCATCGGACGCAGATTTCTGACTGTCTCTACTGAAGAGCTTCAACAGCTTACCACCTTTGTGCTTCTTCGGCTGTTCATATTCCTGCTGCTTAGCTGCCGGTACGATCTCAATCTGGATGCTGACTGACGAATCCCTGGACGACTCATCATCGGACTGATTCGCCTCGGCGGCCAGCTTAAGCTTTTGCATGAGCTGCTTTCGTCCTTCTTTGCTGCTGACGTTGGCGGCGGGCACTTTGTCCCTGCTGCTCAGCTTTGGCGAGCTCGGCAAGCTTGCGGTGGATTGATAAACTTGGTAGTCCTTCGGATATCTTCTCGAGGATGGTTCCGATCCTTCGCAACCTCCGACTGCCATCTCAATTCCATCGAAGCTCCAAGTTGAAGCTGCTGCCCGTGATCGAGCTTTACTGTCCGCCTTCGAGTTCTTCTGCTCCAGCTCTTTGGTGACGTTCTCTCGAACTTGTTTGGCGATCTGCCTGGCCATCTCCCGTGGATCGGTGGTCGACGCGCTAACATTCTTCAAGCAGCGGCTCTTCTTCACGCCGTCTTCTGCAAGCTCCATTGAACGTGGAGTGGTGGGAGTCCGTGCTGGAGTGCTGTTCGGTTTCGCGTTGGGCTTGAGGAGGATGATCTTGCTATCGTCTTGAACTTGGCTTCTTTCGATGCTGCCTTTTCTCTGCTGCTTCTGGACGACTTGCTTCTTTGCGCTACTACCCCTGGTAAGGTCGCGATCTTTTTTGGGTTCTACCAACTTCCTGGAGAATCCAATGTTGTCTTGCTGCTGTGTGACGATTTCTTTGGGTGTTCTGTGCAGAGACCTTGATTTGTTCCTCGCTTCTTCTTCCGCCGCTGCTTCTTTCGCGGCCAAGGCCTGTAAGTCATATACGTGCCTTGCGAAAACAGAGTTTGGTTCTTGAAGAAATTTGACCAGAAACTCTTTGTTGGATTGCAGGAACTGGATGGCGTCAAGCATCTCCTTCGGCTCCCCGGGTTGACGGTTGGTGTTCGTGACTGCTTCCAAGAGTTTCTCGGGGACCGAAATGCCAGAATTGCCGACTTTTGCAGCTCTCTGCTTCATCTGAAGTGAGGAGAATTGCTCTTCCATCTGTGACTTTCGGTGCCGCTGGGCCTGGAACTCTTGCTTCAGTTTCTCGAGCTGCTTCTCCTGTGGATGATCGCGAAACGGCAGCACGTCAAAGAGAAGAAACTCGTCCTGCTCTGTTCTTGGAGGCCATTCCTTGAGCTTGGAATTGCCGTTGCAGCTGAGTTGCCTTGTCAACTGCTGGTGCCTCACTTGTTCATGGCTGCCGCTGTAGCGCTCCTTGGTGCTTCTGCTGGTGAGAAGGCTACGTCTTTCTGACGAAAGAAGTTGCAACTCCTCTTGTGAGGTTTGCTTTGAAGTTGCTTGCCGTTTTAACTGAGGGAGTGGCTGTTCCGCAGGAAGCGTGTCCAAGCCCATCAGTCTGGCAATTACACTCGGCGAGCGGCATCTGCTGTCCATGCTTGCGGCTGATGGATTTGGGACTGAAACTCGGGGTGGTGCCTTGTCCGTGGATTTTCTCAGCGCAAACTCGAATCCAAACTGCCGATTGAAGACAAAAGGTTAGAACTATACCGCTCCCTTGAACTGTGACTACTTACCGGAATTTCATCGCTCGGTGCAGACGCTGGTACATGGTTTTGCCTCATACTCTCGAATACTGCACTGGAAATGTCCAAGCTATTCCTGGGAGCTTCAAAACCTGCAAAAAAACACACCTTTGAGCTCGGTCCAAGAGGAGCAACGATGAACAATTTTACCTTCGGAAAATTTCCGCTCGGAGAGCGATTTCCTCGCTAGGACGACAGGGGTCGTATCCTCGGATTCCGGTGCTCCGTTCCAGATTCCGTTGAAGCAGCCAGGGACATCATGGTAAGCGGGAGCTGGCTTGGACTTCCTTCCCATGACTTACACCTCTATACTGCTTTTCTCTAGGCCGAAAACGTTCGAAATTTTCAAGGATTCTGGGACACTCTCTATAGCTGCATTGTTATAGAGCACTATAGAGCAAGCAATGCTGCCGTTGTCGGTGACTCTAGCACAGGAAAGGAAGCTCGATCAAGTCAATGCTAGCACTGTTACATTGAAAGGTACCACTGCCTCCTAGTCTATGAATTTCTCTCCTGAGGGCTTTGATCTGCGCAGGCCCGGAGAAGATAAGCATCGACAAGCAATTGCGCTGGAGAAGAAGTATAGCAGGCTAGCAGCGCGAGGGGTGAAGTGCAGAGAAAGAAAAGGCGGAAGAACAGAGCTTGTTCTTCACGATAAGAGCGGTCCTCGGTACTTCAAGAGCCTCGTTAAGGTCTGGTCGAGAACACCCCTTTAGAGAGGACTGCAATTGATTTAATCACTGGGAATGGTCCTTGCTTAGATTATCATAACAAATCGTATTCTGTGCAGAGGACAGTGAGAGGTCGGTGGTCTTCTTTCTTCTTCGACGCGTAACCAAGACGTACCGAGGTAACCTTTGCTCCAAGTTTCCTTCTCCGTGTTAGTTATCAAGCTAAAGCATTGTTTTAGATGGATTTGATAAGCACAGATCGCTCAAGGCTGGGATGGGCGATCGTGGTCATCATCATAACAACGAGCAGGTATTTTTAAAAAAATCATGTCATAGTATTCTCAATGGCCGTACGCTATGGAGATGAATGTACGCAGGGAGAATATTCGCAACTTGCGAACTCGAGAAGAACTTAGAACTTAAGAACTTATTGTTGCGTAAAAGCTTTCCATGGTGTTTGAGCTTTCAAAGGTTTGCTTTGTTTTCTCGCTACTTTTTTTATCTCTAATTTTTCTTTTTCTTGTTGTCTTTCTAGAGGGGAGGGAGCTTCTTTAACTGCCTTCTGCTCCTCCCATAAAGTGGGAGCTGAAATTTTTTGAACTCGCTTCATTCATTCGGTCGATTGATGCTCTCTGCGGGATTTAATGTGTCGAGTTTTTTTGAGTTTGAACGATCCGATGCAAAAATGTCGCCTACGCGCAAACGTGGATTGATTGATGGATGGACTCTGATTGATTGATTTAGATTCAAACAAACTCCACACGACTCGGTTAGGATTGTCAGCCAACATGATGCTAATTCCCTGCTGCGCCTGCGATCGTCTTCACTTGATAGCGTAGCAAGTTAGAGGCTTCTATCAAGTTAGAGAGCTATGAGTTGTTTATCATATTGATTAACAAATGTTTTTAAGTTTAAACACTGGTAGTGTTTGGTCGTGTGCATGTGATCTTTTGAGGAAAAAACTCGTGCTCACCCAAAACGATTTCGTTGGTGGGATTGGAATCCTCGCTCTGGGGAAAGGAGAAGATCGAATTTGCGGGCTATTCCATTTGGCCAGCCAGCTCATGAACATTCCATAAACTATAGAGATCTCCTCATTCTCGCCCACATGCATCGTGATATTAGTCTTGACAAAATTATTCTTGTCAGGATTTCCCAAGCTTTATTATTCCAGAGCGAGTGGCCGAAAACAATACTAAAAAGGTGGCATACAACCGAGCAAATCATCGCAGAAGTCCAGCCCGCACAAGGCGATGTTAACGTGGGGGGAAATTACTTGTAAACCATCTCCCAGGCTCGATCGAGACATCGCGCTCCATCACATGATTATCGCTGCAATTTTTTTCTGTGATCTCTCTCCCCATGATTGGAATTCCATCTTTAGTTTTGCCGCTAGCCTTAGTTAAGTCGCAGTCGAATCCCGTCGGCTCGCTGGCGATATTTAGTCCCGATTTTTAACTTCTGCGAGGCACGAGTTTAGAAACGCGAAAGGCTGCGAATTGCAACACATCTTCGTCCGCATTTGTTTGGAGTCACGTTTGGGGGACGCGTGATGCCTGTGTTGAAGCAGTCCATGTGTGCAACTAATGAAAAGGTGGCTAAAGAAAGTTGCTTATCCTCGCCTCCATTAAACTACGTCAACCTCAAGCCTCTCTCACATGGCAATTTGATCATCTAGCAAGCTTAACATTCCCTGTTTGAAAATCCTTAAAATGTTGGTCATCCCACCCTGAAGACTGGCTTCAAGAACGACCTTTCCATGCCCAAGGCGTCTTCCAGATTACATATTATCACCTAATCCTGTTAGAACTATAGAATTATACTAGCTTAATCACCCCCATCGCCATCCTGTCAATTCGTGACCTCTGCTATATCCCAAAAGCAAACCTTGGCAGGGAGAGGTCCAAAGTATATAAGCATGGCAATTTGTAATAAATTGAATGATCTTATGCCATTTTTCTTCTCTTTTTTGTATATGGCGCCCAGGGCAGGCCAAGTCAAGAAAGCTTCTGAGCTGCGGGGCGATCTTAATATTCAAATTCCTTGTCGTCACTTTCCCTTGTTTTTACATTTCTTCAGGTTCAGGCTGGCGGACTCTGCCGCTTCTGCCTCTCACACAAATGACTCATGCACACCCACACACCCATTGCCTTATCTGCCTGTATGCGCCACAGCGAGATTCTCATGATTTCAAACGACAATTCAGAAGACCCATTCACATTAGCCCCACTACAGTCTAAAAAACCAAAAATACCCCAAAAAAAAACAAAGACAAGAAGTCAAATATTAATACACATTTTCAAATAAAATATATATGAGCGTGTGGATTTGGATTTAGTCTTCAGCTGGAAGGCAAAAACAAAACGGTGTGTGCAGCTGCTGCCAATGTGTTTTTGAGTTGGTGTCTGTGAAAAACTGGTGTTTTCTCCTGTGCAAAGCTGCTTGTAACTTACATGTTTGTTGCTTATTTGTTAGAGTGGCAGTTTCACACATTAAAGAGGTGGTGGTAATTTTGTGCATATATGGTCCTTGTGTGTGGTGTGTGGTAAGCTTTAGATCTGGTTGGTTGGTGAGGACCAGGAAGTTGAGAAGAAGACCTCCCTCCCCACTTCTATGACCTTGACCTAAAGACTGCACCAACTTTGAGTGGTTCATGTCAAGCTTTTTCACACAATCTCAGGGAAAAAGCCCTGGAATTTCATTCAATGTCCCTTGTTGTTTCTCCATGCAGCCTGGCTTTTGTTGCGTGATCCCTGTCACCAAAGTGTTTTCTCCTCCCTCTTCTCTTATGTCATTTTTCTTAAATATATATAATTTTTTTTCAACTTTGACCAAGGGTTTTTAACCGACACCGTCTTTTGAGCTCCAGGCCTTCTGGAGAATAGCATGTATAGTGAAATGAGTGCGTGCCAATGCGATAAGCTGCGCAGCACTGCGTGATTGATTGATAGCCTGACTGGCGGGCTGAGTGATTCCTTCGGTATAATTTCTTTACGGCTGATAAAAAAAGAACACCACGGTTCTTCCGAGGGTCATGGTCAACTATACAGCGTACGGTAACGAATCAAAGTTTCAAAAAAAAACTTTAAAAAAAAAATCGAGAGAAGTTGATCGAGATAATAAAAATAACCTATCCATCTAGCCAAGTACCTTTCAGTGAGCGAGACGAGAAATACCTTACCTGGCCACCACCAGAGCTGCTCAAAGGCTCGCAAGAGTCAGACGCTTTTCTTCGCGTTGCCAGTCGCTGGAAAGATGGAATCATTGATCACCTTCTTTCTACGATCACTATGGTGACGCAAAGCTTTTCACCATCCCAGCAAGAGAAAGAAGAAATCTATAAAAGAAAAAAAAAAACAACAGAGGGAGATAAGAGCATAGCCACCTTGTTTTCTTGGGTCCCAAAGCTGTGACTGTTATCTCCTACGCGGCAGGAGCTATGGCTTGTGATTGATTGATGGTACCAGCAAAAACACCAGTCCTTGAGGTGGCGGTGGCGCCAAAGCTCTTCTGGAACGCACTCAAGCTTAGAGAATTAACACCTCTTTTCGAATTCCCAGCCTTTCTGCGTACCAGAAAGAGAACAGCTTCGACGAGTTCTCTTTAATGTCTCCTCCTCCAGCGCTGCGTGTCTGTGGATTCTCCAGTCTTGTGTGTTGCAATGCTGCCAATGCCGAGAAAAGAGAAACCAAAAAAAAAAAAAAAGGAAAAAAACTAGCAAGCAGCTTCCACATGGAAGTTCTGGCTCTTGGATCCCACCAAAGTCGTAAAACACCGACAGGCCACCAGCAAATTCGTTGCTTGGCAGTCTCTCAGCTCTATCTCCTCAAGTGCTGCTCCGCGCAGCAGTGGCTCATAGATTAGACCTGTTTGCTGGCTCGCTCTTCGCGAGCTCGTTCCTTCCTTCCTTCCTTCCCTGGAGTGATATGATATGTCCCTCCTTGGTGGCAGCCTTTAAAGTTACTTAGTTTGGTGCTCCACTTCCATCCAGTTAGCACATGTCTCCCACAGAGAACTCTTTACTTCCAATTCTTTTCTCCTCTCTGTTGTTCTTCCCGAGTACGATCACGCAGAGCTAGAGTTTTAACTCGAGAGTTCTTCGTTGTCATGCTTCCACCACATGGATCCCACATGAAAGTATTCCATTGCTCCACGGGGTCCACAAACACCACCACCTGGTCTATCGCTGCGCCTTTGTCTAGTCGAACCAACTTAAAACTCCCGGCGGGGGCTCTTCTTCCCAAGTCTCTGTAGAGCCGTGTGTATGAGAGAGACGAGAGCGAAAAAAACAAAGAATCGAAAAAAAACTATAGCTACCTGTAAGGTGTTGTGGTCCTTCCTGCAGCAGCTATGTAAGTTACCACTGTCCAGCGTTGTTCGTTCGTATCGCTTGTCCACTTCATCCATGACTCTCAGGACTTATTTTTTACTCCGCATTTGCAGCGAAAAAGATGCTCCTCCTGCCTTGTTACTGCTGCCAAGGAAGAGAGAGAGAGAGAGAAAAAAGGAGAGAGATGAATAAACAAGAGGAAAAATGTACCCATCACTCACCACCGCCATTTGGACAGCGTTTCCGAGACCCTCTACGGCAGCCTTTCGCGTAAGTCACCATGATGAATCATGATTCGTGATACTCCCTCCTGGCCTACGTACGAAACGAAGCGAGAAAAAAGAGAAAACAAAACAAAAACCTCCACTTAGAGCAAAGAAACAGATCCAACTTTGACGAGCCTTACGCTGGATGGAGCTATAACGGGAAAGGAAGACGATGGAAAACTCCGGGATCTCTCCGTGCTCCTCTAGTCCTTGGCAGAGTAAAAAAAAAAGCGCCTGTGCCAAGAACAAGCCTTGCTGTGCCTCGTTTACTCACACATGGCTCGGGACCCGCTTACTGTCTGTTGGATCGATAGGGATAAGATGGATAGAAGCAACCAAGGATCCAAAAACCCAAGGCTGCAAGCAACGCAGATGAAAGACGCTTACGTTTGTACCGTCGACAAAGTGCATCACACAAACGTACCTCGTGGTGGCAGACTTAATAAATCACTTGCAGCCCAGAGGAAAAGAGAGATTCCCGCGACAGACATCATCTCCTTGCATCTTTCTTCCACTAGAAGTCCACTTTTTTCCTTCGAACTATCCTTCTCCTTCTCCTTCTGCTGCTGTGGCTGCTTTTCGCTTGGCTCGCATCTTCTCCAGCCACGAAACGATAACGAGTGTCTGTTTGTTTCGAAGGGAACTAAACCCAGCCCAGGAACTTTTGTTGGCTCATGCACAGCGGGCTGGTGCTGGTGTTTTCTCTTCTCCTGGTCATTTGCACCATTGCCTGAGAAGTTGTCCTCCTTAACGCCTTCTCTTTCTTCATTTTCGCTTCCACCATCCGAAGAGCTCTAAAGCGGGGCCCGGACAAAGTGGCGCTTCGACCAAAGCTCGTACATGGTCATCTGGAACGAGTCGTATTCCCGTGGAGAGTGATGCCAGCCAAAGTGTCTCTTAACTCGTCGGCCATTCGACCAAAGCCGCGCATACTCGTCATGCGTGACGCTCTGGAGCTTCGCCTTCAAAGCTGGGATCTGCGTGTAGCTCAGGACGATCGAGAAGCTCCTCCAATTGAGAACGTTGGACAGCGGCAGATCGTACTGGTTGGAAATGATAACGGGGACGCAGCCGAAATGGAGAGCGTCGGAGATCCTGGCGGTGTTCACCTCGTAGCCTTTGACGTGCAGACAAAACTTGCTCCGCGATAACGCGTCCTCGTACGAGCCTTGCATGGTTCCCGCAAAGATGTCCATGTCGGAATCGTTGGACCAGAGCTTTAGAAGCGTCTCTCTCAAGTGGGAGTTTTGAGCTCGTCCGGAGAAGAAAGCCAGCTTCGTCCTGGAAACAAGAAGTTCACGCAAAGAGAAAGTCAAGAAAATCTGATAGAACGCAAAAAAAAACCACCTTTTTTCAGGTGGAACGATGAAAGTGTCAAGTGGTCGAGGCCAGACTTGAGGAAGAGCGACGTCTTTGTGAGGAACGTAGAGCTTCTGGTAATAGTTCGCCGAGCAAGTGACTTGGATGGCATTTTGCTGCAAAGCCCGGGAGTTGGACGCTGCGTTCCGGCCAACCGAGTGACACCCCACGTAAAAGTGATCCACACCTTCGGTTCGGTTCCAAAACTTGTACCTCTGGCTGATCTCCTCGACGTAACTCTCCACGAAGCTCGAGATCATGGCCTCGGAGCGAATCCGGGGATGGTTTCTCATTGCGTTGATCGAAAACGGCATGAAGAACAAGTGTGCCTCGCCAGGATCCCGCGTCGCGAAAGTGCTGTTGAGCAAGTTGATCTTGAACATATGCTCGCTGAAGAAGTTCCCGAGCTTGCGATCATACGGGTCCGGATGAGGGAGAAAAACCTGGGAGTAATCTGAATTGCCGAATGGATACACATACACCTTGAAGCTCTTCACCATCTCTTCGTAGTCCAGGGAGAAGAGCTCCCAGTTGTGATAGACTTTGGAGCTATGATCTTGACGCTGCGGTCGGGAAGTTCTAGAAGAGAAGTGTCGCTGTCCATCACGGCTGAAAATCTCTCCAAAGCACCCCTGTTGCTGGAGTCGAGTGTTTAAGCCGTGATTTACGGCCACCAGTGCCATGGCCGTAACGAGGAGCACGATGCCCAGTTGCTTCCACTTCCACATTGGAGCTTGGGAATGGTCGCTTACCTCGGAATGGAACCCAAGAACCCTAGACCACGGAGAAAGCTCCAGCATTTGCTATGCATTTTCTCTCTGTGGGTCTGTTGCAATGCCGCTCCATCCAGCCGGGAGATCGATCGCGATCCAGCCTCGTCAATGGCATCGCGGCTTCTAGGGGGCATAGCGATCGTGCTTGATCCTTGAATCTAGCTTTTGGCGCAACAAGAGCCCTAGATCCAACGGTGGAAGTTAGACCGCATTAAATCTCTGCCACGTGTCGGAGCCATAGTATAGTTATGGCTCTGTCGCAAGCTTGTACATGGGAATGTTCACGAACTTGGAAACAAGAAGTTTTTTCAGACTGCTGACGTGGAGTTTGCCAATGCGTAGAGTAGGATCATCGAGTTCCAGGTTGACACTGGAATTGGATCCGAGACAGTTTATGGCGGCACTGGAATTTTCAAAGGAGCTACTGAAATAATGAAAAATGACAGATGGTTGAAATTCAGGAGAAATAGAGTATAAAAGGTGCCTTGCCAATAGTCTGAAGAATCCTTAAGCTCTTCTGAATGTACTAATGTGTTGCATCCGAAGAGAGAAACTTTTGGAGATGATAATGAGACTGTACTTTCACAACAAACGCCCGAACCATTTATGACTGATTCTTTTTCTTGCCTCCCGTTAAACACCATCCTGTTTCAGTCTCTCTCCACCTAGCTGGCAATGATGTGGCACGATTACATGGCATTTCTCTCTTTCCACTCCCGTCCGACTCTCTCTCTCTGGTGCTGGCACATAACATTACTTCCAATCACTTTAACTTGGACCAAAGTCTCTTTCACAGAACAGAGATGAGAGAAAAGGGGGTTTTTTTACTTTGCGTCCAATGCCAACCAGTGTGTAAGTATCTCTCCTTTTACTTTACTCCTCTAGATTGCTCTACCCTCTTCTCTAGGGGGTTTTAGGTTCTTCTTTGGAATGGAAATGCTGGTCGACCCAAGCAGCAGCAGCTAGATTGAAAGCGCTCTTTTTTTTTGCTCTCAAGGGGCAGCAACAATGATCATATGGAGGTTTCTATGAATTTGTGGAGCTTAGTGGTACTATTAGCTCTGGCTTTATGGAATATGGGCATGCTCTTCATCTTTGCACAGTGGAACTTGTAACTATTGCTACAGTGTCTTCTCCTCTTGGATCATCCTTAGTCTTATTTTTCCAACAGATGCCTTGCAAACTTTCAAGCATGCTCTTGGGGATCCATTGGAACTTCGCAGGTGGATGGGCAATGATCCTTGCTCAGCTTTATCATCACTCAAGTATCCGGAATTGTTCCAAGGCTCTTTATTCGACCGGTATGTAGTCTCCTCTCTCAAGTTGAACAAGGATGGAGAGGAATCGAATGTGGTGGAGATAGACATGCCATTGTCTCACTGTTCAAGTTCTTTTCTTTCTCCATGAAGGACGCACAATGGAAAAAAAATGTTTCCAAACTCCAGACGTTAAAGAAGCGCCTCCGGTCAAAAGCGGAGAAAGACCACAGTCGTCGGGCGGATAGATGCAGACGGGAGTGGAAAGAGAGAAATGCCATGTAATCGTGCCACATCATTGCCAGCTAGGTGGAGAGAGACTGAAACAGGATGGTGTTTAACGGGAGGCCTTTTTCTTGGCATTCCAAGTTGATCCTTGGAACTACAGTAAGACATTCCAGCAATCCTTTGGTATCAAGATGAGCTAGACCAACTGCATATTGTTAATAGCTCACAAGCTCTTCTTCTCCAGAGAGAGCCCATACCCATTGTGGCGGGAAAAATTTGAAGCCATACCTCTATAAAATTATATGTAAAGTTTATATCTATAATTTAAACATTTCTAAATAACTATATAAGAAAGAGTCCACACAAAGGCATGGATAAGGGAGTTTGAAGTATGGTGTGAAGCTTCTAGTTTGCTACACTAGGTATGTTTTCTCTTCTTGTTCTTAACCACTAAGTGGTGTAATGATTAATCTTATTATTTTGTAGACAACAAAGGAACAAATTACAAAATAAGACCTACAAAAAACAAGCCAAAGGCTACCATAAAATGCTATGATTTTGTAATCCTACTGTCATCCAACTTTTATAAATTAAAAGTAAAATACATATCATTCTATTCTATGCACTCTGTTGCACTAACAAATTCTGATCCAATTAATGCCTTTGCACTTGCAATTCGGTCGTGTAAAGATTTACCCAAAGCTCAGCAATTGCACAAGAATCTTCTAGAAAGCCAACATGCCAAGAACAAATTTCTCCTCAACCTGCTGCTTTCTGCATATGGTAGATGTGGAGGTCTGGAATATGCAAAGAAAGTGTTTGACAACATGGTCACACCAAATGTATTTACCTGGAATCTCATGATTCAAGCTTATGCCGAGAATGGGCATCTGGAGAAAGCCCAACAGATGCTTAATTCGATGCCTGAGAAAAATCCTATAGCACAGAACGCTCTCATCTCTGCTTATGCACAAAGAGGAGATTTTGAAAACTCCAGAGAAGTATTCAACAGCATGAAGGACAGAACAGCGGCATCTTGGAACACAATGGTGACAGTATATGCCCGAAATGGGCAACTTGACGAGGCAAGGAGTGTTCTGGAGAGCATGCCAGAACCTAACATTCTCGCTATCACAGCCATGGTTGTGGCATATGCTGAGGTTGGGAATCTCAAACAGGCAAGGATTCTTTTTTATTCCATGGCCCAGCGTGACATTGTGTCCTGGACTGCTATGCTCAAGGCCTTTGTCTATAACAGCCAAATGGATGATGCCAAAAAGCTGTTTGAATCCATGCCAGAGAGGAATGTGGTATCCTGGACGACAATGCTTGCAGCATATTCCCAGTCTGGGCATCTTGGAAGTGCCAAGGGCATCTTTGATGCCATGCCTGAGAAGAATGTAGTGACGTGGACGTCGATGGTACAAGGGTACGCTCTCCATGGCCACGTGGAAGACGCGGAAGCGCTGTTCCAGCAAATGCCAGAGCGGGACATTGTGACGTGGAACGCCATGCTGGTGGGCTTCACACAGAAGGGACACGTGGCAAGAGCCAAGAAGCTGTTCGACCAGATGCCGAGGTGGGACGCCGTGACGTGGAGCATTATGCTGCAATGCCTTGCCGAGAATGGGCATCTAGAAGACGCTAGGAATCTCTTTGACAGGATTCCTGAGCGCAATGTGGTGGTGTGGAATATTCTCATCCAGGCGTACGTCCAGCACGAAGATATCACCACCGCCACGTGGCTCTACCACAGAATGCCAGCTCACAACAGAATCACACGAAATGTTATGATCGTAGCAAATGCCCTGGAAGGGCATCTTGAAGATGCTCGTTGCATATTCGACAATATGCCTAGCAAAGATATTGTGAGCTGGAGCTCGCTGATCGAGGCATACGCACAAGCGACCTACGTTGATCAGGCAAAGTCAATGTTTGACCGGATGCCCGAGCATGATACTGTCGCGTGGACCGCAATGTTTGCAGCATTTGCCCAAGAAGGGGATTTGGTAGCGGCGAAGTTGATGTTCCACGGCATGCCCGAGCAAGATACCGTCGCCTGGAACGCGATGATCGCAGCGTTTGCGCAGAATGGGCGATACTCCGACGTGGAGAAGTTCTTCGGCTTTGCTCCCAGCAGAGATGCTGTGACTTGGAGCGCTCAAATCGCGACTTACGCGCACAATGGCCACGCCGTGGAGGCGCTCCATCTATTCTGGTGCTTGCTGATCGAGGGGATGATCCCCGACGCCACCATCTTCAACAACATCCTCTCGGCGAGCAGCCACATTGGTGAGCTCAAGGATGCCTGGCGCTACTTCGTGTCCATCACTGACGATCACGGCCTGGTCCCCTCGCACGATAACTACTGCTGCATGGTGGATGTTCTTGGGCGGTGTGGACAGCTGCGAGACGCCGAGGAGCTCGTCCACACTATGCCGTTTTTGCCGGACTCGGTGGCGTGGGGTGCACTGGTTGCGTCTTGCAAGGAGCACAACGATGCCGATCGGGCCGCTCGAGCAGCTCAGCTTGCAGCCGAGAGGAATCCAGAGAATTCAGTGTTCTACGTGCTGCTCTCCAACACTCTGAGAACCATCAAACAGAAAAGGAGAAGTTCTAGTCAGGAAGAGACGTGCGAAGCTTGAATTTACCAAAGGATGCCGAGATTTGTATCGCAAGCATTCATTCTTCTACCTCTGCCGCGGCTGTGTGCTTATTGCAAGCACGATTGGCAACTCGAGCAGCAAAGGAACCCGGAAAATTCAATCTTTTACATGTTGCTCTCCTACACCGAGAGCCATCAGTATAAAAAAGTTAGAAAAATCCTGTACTTTACCAGAGGCAATCGAGTTTTTTTCCCAAGCCCGTGATTCGCTTTTCTCAGCGACGAGGTAGAAGAATCCAAAACCTCTATAAAAAAAAATTTGGTTAGTCAAGAGAAGTTCGCATCGACTGTGCTTTACCTGAAGCTGACGATTTCTTGCAAGTCTTTCCAAGACGTGCACCACGGAATGACTCCATTCTCTGTGTCTTCTACCAGCAGTCCTTGCATGAGCACGTACCATTACTGAAGTGATGAAACCTGAGGCTGTCCCTCACGATGATCTCCCTTCCCATAACCATAGAGATGTACTTGGTAGCAGTATGACAGTCGCCGCAGACACGAAGGTTCTTCACGATCTTGAGAGTTGTCTCGGGAGGAGTTGCTATCAATCCAAAAGCAATGGCTATCCTTTCACTATGATAGCCGAGCGCCTTCTCCTTAAGCTCGTCTTCAACGTCAAGTCCCTTGTCCGCCTCGTATCCAGCTCTTCGCATCAGCAGCTCAAGCTTGTCGAGCACGACATAAATCTCGTCTGTCTTTGGGTGTGATCTGTCACCAGCGACAAATTCGTGAACCTGCTTTCCAATCTCGAACCAGCTCATTCCAGGGGCGTTCTTCACATTCTCGTCGAGCATCTTCTTTCTATCGACATCTGCATCCTTCCATTTTCCAGTAGCGCAGTAAATGTTGGAGAGAACGACGTGAGCTGCCGAGTTGTGTGGATCCAGCTCTAGAATCCTCTGAGCACATCTCTCACCAAGTTCGGCATCTCCCTGAAGCTTGCAAGTCCCGAGCAAGCTCGTCCAGACCAGAGTGTTGTCTTCGAACGGCATCTTGCGGATGATCTGCTCGGCATGCTCGAGCTGTCCTGCTCGTCCAAGGAGATCCACGAAACAGGCGTAGTGCTCCAAAGTAGGAGATATTCCGAAGTACTCCTTCATAGTAAGGAAGGAGCTGCACCCTTCCTCAACCATTCCAGCATGGCCGCATGCAGAAATGATACTGACGAGCGTCGCGACGTCGGGTCTCACGCCTTCCTGCTGCATTTTCCAGAACATCTTGACGGCCTCTTCGCTGAATCCATGCTGAGCCAGTGCTCCTATAATGGCGTTGAGAAGCACGACGGTCCAATCGCAAGCTCCTCGAAACAAGGACATGGCCTCGTCTAGCTTGCCACACTTGGCATAGAGCTTAACCAGTCCCGTGGCCACCGAGACGTCTGAATCAAGGCCACTCTCAGCTGCTAAGGCGTGGAAGAGCTTGCCATCGGAAACCAGTGCTGAGCCCCCAGATACGTTGAGCGTTGTAGAGAAAGTAAGCTTATCTGGCTTCACACCTTCTAGTTGCATCTGACGGAAGAGAAGAACAGCCTCCTTAGCCAAGCCAGCTTGAGCATAGGCTGCGCTCATAATGTTCCACGAGACGAGATCTCGAGCCTTCATCGTCTCAAAGAAGCTCAAGGCCTCCCTCCAGTCACCACAGTTGGAGTACATGTTGAGCAGTGCATTCTCCACAGCGATGTCCGCTTCTAATCCGATCTCAGTGACGCACGCATGGATGACTTTCCCTAGTCCCAGAGTCGTGGAGGCCAGGCAAGTGTCCAGAGTCGTAGCCAGCGTGAACTTATCCGGAATAACTCCTTCCAGCTGCATCCTCCTGAAAAGATTGTGAACCTCTTTGAAGTCCCTGTTTTCTGCCGTCGCTGAAACCATGGCTGTCCACGAGACCACATCCCCGTGGTCCATCTCGTTGAACACACTTCGAGCTTGCTCTAGCTCTCGACACCTGCCATGCATGCTGATAAGTGCGGTTTCCAGGCAGGCCGATCGATAGCCACTTTCCAAGATACACATTCGTAGAACTTGAGCCTCTTGTGAGCAGTAGCACGAACTGAGCACGCTGGTGAAGCTGAGAGCATCCGGAAGAACACCACCTTGCAGCATCTCCATGAGCGCTCCGAAAGCTTCTTTCGATCGATCGTTCTGTGCATATGCCCCGAGCATTACGTTCCAAGTAACCAAGCTCCGGGAAGGCAGTGGCATCTCCTTGAAAACTAGCTCCGCCTCTGAAATACTCCCACACTTCCCATACATGGAGACGAGCATGGTCGCCACAGAACTCTCTACGTAGTCCCGTCGTCTAGTCAGGATCAAGGAATGGATCTTCCTGCCAAAGTCCAAAGCTTCGCTATTAGAACAGGCATTGAGAATTGCAATGAAGCTCACCTTGTTCGGGTCTATCCCCGCCAAGAGCATGTGATGGAAAGTATTCACGACTTTGCCGAAGCTCTTGCGATCTTCGCTCGCTCCAAGCATCGTATTCCACGAAATCACGTCACATTTCCACCGGATCCGCCGAAAAACAGCCCAGGCCGCGGAAAAGAACCCGCATTTCGCATACATGCTGATGATCGCGTTGCCGATGACGACATCCCGCAAGTAGCCGCTCTCCCAGATCCGGCCATGGAATCCCCTGGCAGCGCCAAAATCCACGCCAGAAGCCGCAAGAGCATTGAGAATCGTGATCAGCGTCACGGAATTGGGGCGCATACCTTCGAGACGCAAGCGCCGGAAGATCGCCATGGCGTCACCATGCCGCCCCGCCTCGACGCTCGCGGAGATCATCGCGTTCCAAGAAACTAGGTCGAGCTCCTGGCGGGAAGCCATGGCTTTAAAAACGCTGTACGCTCCCTCCCAGTCCCCACACTTGCCGTACATATTAATAAGCGCATTGCTGGCCAGAGGATCGAACCCCAGAGAGGCCTCGTGTAAGAGAGAGTGGAGCCACGTGCCATCTCGCAAGCTGGTACACGCGCCAAGCGCTGTGATAAAGGTGATCACATTGGGGGCGAGAGGTTGAAGAAGCATTTCCCGGAATATCCTTAGGGCGTCTGGGTAGAATCTTCTCTCCTGGGCGTAAGCTCCGGCCATGGCGGTCCACGATACAACGTCCTTCTCCGGTATCGCCAGGAAGACCGCGATGGCGTCCTCCAGACTCCCGCATTTGGCATACATGTTGATCATCGCATTGCCCACAAGAGTCGCGGTTGTGGATGCTCGTTCTAGCCCGAGCTCCCATATCATGGCGTGGATCGATCGCCCAATTGCTAGGTCTCGCGAATTCGCGCATGCGTTGAGCATCGCTACGAGCGTGTAGCTGTTGGGCGCGGCGCTGGATTCGAGCAGCATTGTCCGGAAGAGCGCAAATGCCCGCGCAAAAGCTCCACACTGGGCATTTGCGGAGATTAAAGCGGTCCAGGAGACAACGTTTCTTTCCTCCATTTTCGAGAAGATCGCGTGGGCTTCTTCAAGGCTGCCACACCGGACGTACATGTTTATGAGACAGTTCCCCAGAAAGAGGTGCTGCTCGAGCCCGGCATTGGCGATCAGTTCGTGGGCGTGTTTGCCTTTGGCGAGATCGTTGGAATCAACGCAGGATTGGAGAAGCGCGGTGTATTCTTGCAGATCGGCAGCGCGATCTACGCGCACTGCTCCAGAGAGAGAGCAGAGCTGCCGGATGATCGATCCACGCTTCATCATTTTGGATTCATTCATGTGCCATTGTATCAAAGTTGATTGATTGCAAGAGAAAAGCGAGCATTCACTACAGTTGTTGTGTCTGGTGGCAAGAGTATCCGCTGCGTGGATTTTATTAACGAGCTTCAATCTAAAAGAACCTTTAATCTGATAAGCTTTGACCTCCAAGATGAACCATATGCAGCAAAAATTTATTTACTGTAGATATATAATAAAACCATTTTATCATCTTTGATAAAAGTTCACATATATACATGACATATGTGATAAATAAACAGATGAACACCAAACGTTATTATAATGCCACCCACCTAGTTTTGAATAATCTCATTCAGTTGTAGCAATGATTAGTTCAATGGTTTGTTTGTTCATTTAAATATGTCATATGATTTATTGCAATTGTTTTTTTATCTTTAGATATTTTTAAAATATACATGTTGATAATTTGCATTAATAATAATCTCGAGAATATTTTATATCTGATCGCGCTCTTCAGTTATGTGCATCCCTTATTAATGCCACAAAAGACACCATAAACATAAGTATCGCCCCTGGGGTCTTTGACTGCTCCGGTTCACGGCACTTTAAGGTAGTGGCGTTGAAATCATACAATGATCACCAACACCGCTTGCTCCCACGCGCTTTTACTTAGTGGAAGGCAGATTTGATCTCCTTGCCTCGCAGATCGAAGCACCACAAGCGAAGAGGCAGATTTAAGCTTTTGCTGGAGAAAGAAAGATCCATCCACTATGCGAGCTTTCCATGGAGGTTCTCCAGCAGATCTAGGACGAAGCTTGGGCTCGTCTTGACTGCAAAACTCCAAGAAAGGTGGTCGTGAACCCAGGCCGTCGAGCTCTTCGCTGTCGAGTTGCCAGTCCCGATCACATCAGCACAGGTTCAGTAGTCTTGGGCTCGAAGATCTCTCGACAATTGGGGTAATTAACGAACTGAGGTGTGCTGGACTGCGCTATGCCAAGAGTGAGCTTGCTTTCAAATTTTATCTACGCTGAGATGAAAACCAGCGCTGACGACGTGACTTTCGTGGTGGCTCTCATAGCTGGAAAGAAAATCGAAGCCAAGACCAACCGAGACTCTTGGATGTGCTTTGATGGGATTCATATATAAGTAAATTACAGTAACTTTGAAGAGAATTTTTTTTTTAATATAAGAAAATTTCTCTTCTTATAACAATGTATATTAGGAGACCAAACCACAATTGAATTTTCAGAATATAATACAATAATTTTACTTTACATTCACAGTTCTTAGATCCTTTATACCATTTATAACATTTCTTATATATAAAACAAGAATGCAATCTAAATATAAATAAAATAACCTTTATGATTTGGTGATATTAAAAATTCAGTAGCTTTTAAAAATTTGAAAAACACATTACTTATTAAAGTAGTGAGATCAATTGTAAAATCATATAGGTTATCCTAGCATTTTGAATTTGCAGCAATTTGTGTCAAAAGATTTTTCCCCATAAATTCAATAGCACAATAACCACTCACTATTCTAATAAATCTTGCACATATAGTCTGTTAGATTATTAAATACCATCTTTCTTTTTAATTGGATAAATTATATGTTATAAGTATTAATTATATAATTTTATATAATTTTTAAGCTTTAGAACATTATGTAATTTATAGTATTAAAATATTTTATATCTTAAATAATCCAAATGCCATGTGGAACATAATTTGCTGCACATTGCATGCAGCAACATTTGGTTTCCTTAATAGTAGTCTTGTTTACTATTATTTATTGATCAAATTTATCAATAATTATGTTTATAATATGGATAGTAAATAAACTAGAATATACTAGGAAGTGTTTTGGAATGTTTATAAATTATAAATACAAGATTAATCTAAATGAATAACAAATATCACAAAATATTCAAGCATATTTTAGGGTATGCTAAGTTATACTAAAATAGAATTAAATATAAAAGAAAAATATAAACACAAAAGTTCAGAATTTAAATTAAATATTCTGCAGCATACCATCAGGTGGAGATTGTGCTTGCACTTGTTGTAGATATGGTGGTCTATAGCTGAGCCACCCGTCCAATGCTGATGATTTTTAAATCCTTGATTATTCTTAGAATAACCAATATGCCAAACCAATAACAACTTTTAGTATTGATATTTAAAGAGCACCAATGTCTAAAGTACCACTTATAAGCATTTTCTCAGTGCAGCGAGTGAGAAACTAAGTGGATCTAGAGGCAGGACAAACAAAAGGAGAGAAGGCCACACAATGTAGCAGGGGCGCATGAATCTCTAGAACTTGCTACAGCAACAGGCAGCTGGATCTCATGATCGTTGGAGTCTCCGTTGGATTGGAGGAGAATGCTTCTTCCTTTTTACCTTACAGTTTTCAGAGCCTCGTTGGGTGGCAGATGTTCTTAGCAAAAAGCGTTGTGTAGCATTATGAGCTTTACTTAGATTCACTCTTTTGCAAAAAATACCTGTTCTCCTCTAGCTCAAGGCATGGTCGTAAATGCCAACACTTTTATCTCGGTTTATAAACATGGTTTCTATTTGGTGATCTCACAAAAAAAAGGGTAAGTATAAAGGTTACACATGAATTGCAAGGGAAACAAAAGAAAGAGTCGCCTTTGGTAAAACAGCGTCTCTTCTCCGAGTTTTTTGCTGGCGATGGCGGCTACAAAGCTTCAAATGTCTCTTGGATCTGGCTTGCGGCAGAGGAGGGACTCGGAGTGCGCAAGTATTCTCCCCAGAAAGCTTACCAGGGAGTATGGTCTGGAGCTCGTCATGCATGCCAATTTCAAAGAGGTTGCTCTCAAGCACAAGCTGGGCAGGAAGATGGAGGTTTTCCCCTTGTATTGCGGCTTCGCTTTCCGAAAGATGCCCGGTATTATGAGCATCAAACGACGAAAAGCTGCCGCTCAATCTCGGCCAAGGCCGAAAAGGTCAAGGGTTCGAATCCCTAGGCTACTTTTTCTTTTCTTAAAGGGCTTAAAGCCTAGTCGTTTATATTTTTATAGCATAAAATACTTAATACAAACCCACTTTAATGCTTGGAAATGTACACAATACAAATAAAAGAGAAATGGGTCATAGTTAGAACGCACACAGTTCTTTCTTCCTTTACTCATCGTCTTCCTCCTCTTCCTCCTGGAAATTTAGCCAAACCAGTCCACTCAGACCAGCTCCAAAAAAAAAAAAAACAAGGGAATTTGCAAAAGAACTTACTTCACTCTGCATCTCCTCATCGTCGTCCTTGCCGTTTTCTTTCTCGTTCTTGGCATCTTCTTCCTGCTTAAGCCAAGATCGTCAGCCCCAAAGCAAAAAAGGAGAAAACAAAAACCTGTTTTTTCTTGTACTCGGTCAGTGTTTTCTCATAGTCGGCTTTCTTCTGCGCAGCTTTGTCGTGGTAAGGTTTTTTCTCCTGTTAAAACCGTAGTCGATCATAAAAGAACCAATTTTTTTATTTTTTTTCTTTTTCTGTGTACCTCTTCAGTGAGCCGTTTCCATGCATCACCTCCGGCCTTGCCAACCTGAGAGAAAAAAAACAAGAGAAGAAACCATTAGAACAATTTCAGTGTTCAAGAGATCTTCTTACAGCTGCAACTCCTTTGATGTTGGGATGCTTGTCTTTGAAAGTCTTGCGATACTCCTCCCTGAAAGCCGTGCCATTAGAACAACCATCTTGAGCAAACCATGGAAACAAGAAAAACAGAGAGAAAAACTTGGAAGATAAAAAATCTCACAGGAAGACGAAGAAGGCCGTGGCTGGCCGCTTTGGCTGATTGGGATCAGCCGCGTTCTTCTTCTTGTCCTTCTTCTGCTTCTTCATTTCCTTGTCCTTCTTTGCGGCAAGCTTCTTCTCTATAGCCTTCCTGTTAAGACATAGAAAAACGTCAATGTTTTTAGAGATCCAAGCTTTTGACCCAAAAACTCACTCTTTCTCAGCCTTCTTCTGGGCCTTGGCATCGGCTGCCGCGGCCTTCTTCGACTTGGTGTCCTTCATCTTCTTCTGCTAACCTGTCAAAGTTAAACAAAACTTAAAGCCAGAAGAACAAAGAGAGAAAAAAAAAAAAAAACAATTTTTCTAAAACAACTTCCAGATTTGAGACTTTCCACCACAGCCACTGAATGAAAAATGCAGCATGGCACTGAATCCTAGCACACCACTCTTATGACTAGAACTAGAAACCCAGAACTTCACAGCTTTTTCTTTCTCTTTCTCTACAATCTCTCACTCTTTCCCTCTACTTCTCCACAAACTCACCTTGTAGTCGCGAGCTCGAGGCCTGGAAAGCTCAGCCGCTGCTCCAATCCACCGACACAGAGCCACAAAACCTAGTCGCAGCGGCACCGCGAGGATCCAACACTCGACCCGACTCAAAGTTGGCAATCCGGAGCACAAGCCCGGAGCGGCAGCCTCGCAGCTCTAGGAGCTCAGCTCGGCCCTCTCGATCCCAAATGGAGCTCTGGAGCTTCGCCCTCTCGAGCTCCACAGGCGCGCTCCTCCCTCGGGGAGGCTACTATTACACTTGACAAAAAAACACTTAAACTTGGCCAAAGGCAAAATACTCACAAGAGAGAACTCTCTTCACAAAGCCTCACACACAACACACAGAAGGGAAGAACAAGGCGGCCAGGGTTTCATTCAACGGGTATATCCTCTGGGGATATTCCTGGCGCCTCGGTCGTACGCGTGTACGGCGCTTGGGCCAGCCGCTTGGCGGGAAAGCGAGCGTCTCTCTCTTTCTCTCTCTCACTCCGCTGGCGCTGAAAGAGATGGAGCTGCGATGGATCGGACGATCGATCGGACGCAAGCATTTATGAGAATTGGGCATGGCGCGAGCAGGGAGGAGATCGATGCTGCCGCGGCGGTGTCCAGTTTCGCGGATCTCGCGAAGGGCTGTGCTGCGAGGAGGGATTTGGGCGAGGCGCGGAGGATCTGCGCTGCGATTGTGGAGAGCGGGCTTGGGAGCGATGGGTATCTCGCGAATTTGCTCGTCCAGATGTTTGGGGGATGTGGGGATGTGGGCGCTGCTAGGGAGGTGTTTGATCGGATGGAGCGGCGGGATGTTTTCTCGTGGAATCTCATGATCCAGGCGTACGCGAGGAATGGGTTTCTCCAGGAGGCAAAGGCGGTGTTTGAGGAGATGCCGTGCAGAGATCTCGTCTCGTGGAATTGCTTGATTGCGGCATTTGCCCAAAGCGGGCATTTGGACGAAGCTTATGGGCTATACATTGAAATGCCAGACACGAATCTAATCACAGCAAACACTATGATCGCAATGTTTGTGCACAATAGCGATTTCACATCTGCTAAGATTGTTTTTGATCGAATGCCACACAGAGATTTGGCATCGTGGAACTCCATGTTCCAAGCATTTGCCCAAGAAGGGCATCTTTATCAGGCAAAATCAGTGTTTGATTCTATGCCGGAACGCAATGTGGTCTCCTGGACAGCCATGATTCTCGTGTTTGGCCTGATGGGGAATATTTCAGATGCCGTGAGAACATTCTCTCAAATGCCCACCAGGAACATTGTGTCATGGACTTCGCTCTTCCAGGCTTACATCCTCAATGGGCATTTGGACGCGGCAAAGTCTACGTTTGATCAAATGCCGGAGTGGGATCTCGTCTCCTACACGTACATGATCGAAGCTTTCGCATCGAGCGGGAATCTGGAGCTCGCCAGAGGCCTGTTCGATCGAATTCCCGAGCAGAACATCGTTACTTTGGGAGGAATCCTCAAAGCTTACGTTGAGAGCGGGCATTTGGAGGAGGCCAAGGTTTTGTTCCAAGGAATGCCTGTGAAAAACATCGTGTGTTGCAATGCGATGATCGCGGCACTGGGTCAGACCGGGGATCTGCTCCAAGCTCGCGCGATCTTTGACGCTATGATCCAGAGGGACATCGTGTCTTGGAACTCGATGCTTGAGGCCTGTGGATCGAATGGCGATCTGGATCAAGTCATGGAGCTGCTATCTCGAATGCCCAAGTGTGATCTTGTCAGCTGGAACACTTTGATCGCAGCCCATGTCGAGAGAGGCCTCTTGATCGAGGCAAGGAAGTTCTTTGACGAGATGCCGATGAAGAACCTTGTGTGTTGGAACACTCTTCTCTCGGGGTACATTGCCAGGAACCTTGAAGAGGTGAAGTTTACGTTTGATAGCATGAAAGAATGGAATGTAATCTCGTGGACAACCATGGTGGCAGCGTTTAACCTCCATGGTTACGTTAACGAGGCAAAGCTGGTATTCACCCAAATGCCCGAGAGAGATATAGTGGCCTGGAATTCTATGGTTGCAGGATATGCCATGAATGGGAATCTCTCAGATGCCATAAGAACATCCAACGCAATGCCCGAGAGAGATCTAGATTCTTGGAACGCAAGAACTGTTCTATACTTTCAATCTGATGGCAATCAAGAGAGCGTTCTCGAGCAATTCCACTTGATGAAAATCCATGGTTCTCGTATAGACAAGACGAGTTTCATCAATGTTCTCACGGCTTGTAGCCACCATGGGGACGTGACTGCTGGATCATCAAATCTTCTATCAATGAGCTATGATCACGGCATTTCTCCCATTAGAGAGCACTACTGCTGCATGATTGACACCTTGGGACGAGCAGGCAAGCTTAGAGACGCTAGAGATTTGATCGAAAAGATGCCCTTTGAGCCAAGCTTAATCGCGTGGACAACACTATTCGCTGGCTGTAAGAGTTTATAATTTTATAGTATGCTTTAGATTCAATATTTTGGGTGCGCGGGTCGCTTGTGGGCGGGGACAGCACGAATTGGGCCAAATGCCACGTGAATCACAGCAGGCTGCTAAATTTTGGAAATCTGCGATGGAAAGGTACAATTTGCCACGCACACAAAAATCTGCTGCAATTTAACAATTGCAACTGTGTACAAGGGAATTGCCTGGAGGGATCTGTAATTGGGCAATTTGGGAGAGTTATGTCCCACTTAAGCCTGTGTAACCAGATTTCCAAATGCTAATTAAAACATTAAATTGATGTTTGAAGTTACTTTAGAATTAAGATTTCTCCCAGTAAACAAAGTGTTATTGATTATAGATATAACTTTCATCCCAAAGATTTCTATGCTTTGGAATTGGCTTGAGCTGAGTTGCGATAATCGGAGAGTTTCAATAAATCCCCTTACAAGGCATCTAGGGCTCCTTGTGCCTCAATGATTTCTCATTGTTATTAGTGTTGAGTAGGCAAAGTTAATAGTCCCAAGTGATTTGTGAGTATCTAAGAGTGAGTTTAACACTAGTGTTGTGTTCTTTTGGCTGGGTCCTCTCTTGTGAGGCTTTTGTAAGTTTTTCTTGCACTTTGGTGGCTCTTTTGGGGGTGCATGTGGGCAAGCATAAGAATGATGCTTGAGGCCTGATTGAGCCCTACACTAGTTCCCCAAGAACTAGTTACATGTAGTAGCAACTAGTGAGGAATATCTATGCAAGCCAAAGGCTCCTTAATTAGGGACTCTTCTCTTTGGTCAATGATAAGTTTTTCAAAAGTCAAGGGTCTTACTCTTATTGGAATGACAAAATTAAGATTACGCCAGAAAAATTAGGATTGGTCGTCAAAAGCAGTTTTATTTTATATGCTAAAATACAACTTAACTAAAATATGGTTACATTTTGAAACATCATAATGGTAATCTACCAACTTATTTATTCTATTTTCATATTATTTCTTTTTGAAATTGAGAGTGCATCAATTGAATTTGGATTTAAAGGAAGCACAAATGATGTTGATATGAAAACAATTGTAAATTCTATAGATTTTATAATCTCAACTCTTAGTCAACAAGATGATTATCCAGAAAATTGGTCACATGCTATTACAATACCTTTATCATTAGGAATAGTAACCATAAAATTATCACGATTTATAGGAAGACCTCCAAATTGTGCATCAAGTGGAAGTACAAATAGAAGAATAAAAGGGGTAACTATGTATAATAGTTTTAAAAATTTATTAAATTACAATTCCCTTAAAATAATAGAAGCTGCTGCAAGTTATGCAATATTAACCTCTATACAATATCAAATTTATTATAGTCGAGATGGCTCTTATGAATCAGAAATTTATAATATTCAAAGTACACAATCTCTTGAGGATTGTAATATATTTAAAAGTACTTTATATAGCGGTTCTAAACATAAACCTCATCATACTTTATTTACAAATGACTATTTGATATCTCCAAATTCTAAAAATATTTTATTTTTACATTTAAATTGCAATTTAGTTTTATATTCAGGAAAAACTAAGTTATGGCAAACTTTAACTATGAAAAAAACTATTACCCAATGTTACTTGAGATTACAAAATGATGGTAACTTAGTATTATATTCAAAAATAAATATAGTTGAATGGTCTATAAATATATATTGTAAAAGTAAGGAGCAGTTAATTTGTATTTTACCAACTTTTCTTAGTTTACAAGATGATTGCAATTTAGTAATATATTCTTCAATATCACCAAATACACAGCTATGGGCAACAAATACTATAAATAATAATAAATGTATTAATTAGTTTATCTCTTATTTTTAGAGGTATTATATTATATTTATAAATTTATAAATTTAATAAATTTTATAGTAGTTTGTTTTAAAATTTAATACCATTTTTTACTAATTTATATTTTAATTTAGACATAGAAATAATCAGCTAATATTTGTGGAAGAATTCATTTTCTAAGATGTAGCCTATTTGTTTCAGAAATAAATATTCTAAGGGTATGTATAGATCAAAGAAATATTTTAATTAGGCAACATGTAATTATAATAGTTAACAGTAATTAAAAATATTGTAAGATTTTAAGACTGACAGGCCAATTCTCATATTAAAAATTTCATATAGAGTGAGGTAGTCAGCTATTTCTTCAGTGAGTAGATTACATACATCATACAAACACATATCTAAATCCTGTCAATACTGTATAATTATGGTGCTTCTCACATTAGAGGACATTATTGTTACATGATTAATATCTTGGAGATAAACTTAGAAGAAACTTTGATTGAAAATATGCCCTTTGAGCCGAGCTAGCTAACTGTAAGATATAATTTGTAGAATATACTATAGATCATAACACTTCTAAGGAATTATTAGCTATGCTGGCCTAAATAAAATTAAATAGATGTTTTAGTGTGATAGAGAAATATGGAAAATACACACACATAAAAAACTTAATAGAAGGAAATTTTCCAATTTTCTGGGAAGATTTATATGATCCAATGAGGTGATAGCACAGCTCTCAGAATGTGGAGCAGCATTGGTGGAACCACGGCAGACACAAGAGGACAATCCAAAACCAGCTGCTGTGGGATGAATTGGCCCTTAAAAGATGGCTAAAAATTACCATAAGATCCAAGATTCTAAGATTCAAGATGTTTAACCCCTAGAAAGTAAAATAAATGCTTAAGCTTGTTTCCATATTAGGGTTCGTCCATGGCCGGTGATTGCTGGGTCGCTTGTGTTGGCGGTGACAACACGAGCTGGGCCAAATGCCGCGTGAATCAGCGGCAGCAGCTGCTGCATTGGGTGGAGGCGGGGCGAAATTTCTTCCACTGGCTTGTTGCGCCCGAGGAGGATCGGCGATGGAAAGGTGTGCATTTCGCCAGGATCGCTGGCGACAAATCCCTGATCGGCACCGGCGAGTCCCTGATTGCCACTGGCAAGTCCCTGATCGCCACTAGCGATTCCCTTCCGCAAAAATCTAGCGCAATTGAGCCGTTGCCACTGGATGATTACGATGTGAGTCTGTAAGTGCCAGCCACTCTTCTCTCTATCGTTCTCAGTTGGAATTAAACTTCCAGGAGCTACAACCGGATTTAACTTCGCTACAATCTCCTGTGACAAGAGAAGATCTGGGACGAGCTACATGGACTTTTCTTCACAGTCTCGCAGCTCAGGTATATTGGATCCCCCGAATTTCTTTGCTCTTCCGAACGAAAGTTTCTTTGGATTTGCAGTATCCAGATAAGCCAACACGACAGCAGCAAAAGGACGTGCGAGAGCTTATGGCGATCATCTCGAGAATGTATCCTTGCAAAGAATGCGCGGATCATTTCAAAGAAGTGCTCAAGTAAGCTAGAGCTTTTACTTCGCTGTTAAAAGTCTTTCTTTTTTTCTTTTTTCCTGTGTAGATCGAATCCTGTCCGCGCTAACTCTGGCGTGGATCTATCGCAGTGGATGTGTCGAGTACACAACATTGTCAATAGAAGGTAGAGAGTATCTGAAAGTTCTTGGTTTTGCATAACAATTTTGATGCGCACAGTCTTGGAAAGCCTCAATTTTCTTGCGAGCGTGTGGATGCGAGATGGGGTGCGCTCCACTGCGACGGCGCTTGTGATGTTCATGGCCGCCTACACAGCATGAAGAGCTGATCTTACGTCGCCCTGAGGTCTAGTATATCAAGCAAATGGTTTTCAATGTCTTTTGGAGAGCTCCAGAGATGGAGGTTGGCTTTGAAAATCTCACGATTGTTCTCTATATGCTTTGCCAGGGGAAATCTATAGCCAGAAACGAGAAGGAAAGTTAAAAGCATGAGTTGTTCGATCAACTTACTCGACTCGAGCAAGAAGATGGTCGTTTACTTTGAGCCGCAGAGAAGGGCAGATATCTCCTCGACCATCTCCAATGTAAACTACTCGATTTTCAGCTGGTTTGGAGCTGAGAATTCTATCGAGAATAAGACCCTGGAATTGAAAAAGAATTGGAAAACGAAGAAGAAAGAACTTTGTATGTATTTAGGCCTACCTTGCACATATTTGGAGGACAAATCAAGCAACCATGAGGAACTTCGGAAGATTGATACGGCCGGACTCTAAGCAGGCCATGATCGTCAAGACTCGCGGGATTTGTGTGAATCTCGGAGAAGAATCGAGTGAGATTGAAATTGTCGAGGATAGTTTGGATGAAAAGCGTGTTGGCATCGCTAATAATCTGGAGCTCGTATCTGCAAGAAGTTGGATCTTAGAACTTATAGAGTGGATCAAGGCAAAGTTCCCGAAAGAACTAAGTTTATAAGAACGAATCTCACCCAGCTGCTGCTACTGCTCTGATGGCTCTCGACATGGAGGAATCGAGCGGGATTGTTCGCAAGCTCGCTTCGATCTCGGCTAGAGTTCTTCCTCGAGACATGATCTCCACCATCATAGTATCCTGCCAAGAACAAGAGAGAAAGTTCTTGACAGACAGGAGAGAAGAAAGAATTCATCGTTACCATTAGATCCGTCCAAGGGAGACTTCTTCGCAAAGAACGCATTAGATCCGAAGCGCCCATTTGCTCCACCACGAATGTATCACTGTTACAATTGATGAGGCTCCAGTCGAAATCAAACACCACAATGGAGCTCGCCATGGCCTCGAGAGAAGCTCTCGAGAACTAGTCTACTGAGATTATTCGAAGAGAATCTTCCTTCCTTATATTTGGGTTTAGGGTTTTTTGGGCATCAATGCTCGTTGCCGCCACTCCGGGATCGTTCGCGCTCTCCCGATTGCTCGCCGCGAGGCTGCATTGCGCGCGATTCGCACCGCGCTGCTCGATGTGCGCGCTGCCGGACGCTGCCGCGAGGAAGCGGAAGAGGATGGATGTCGAAATTCGCGACACGGTGAAGCTAAGCGCCGAGGAGGAGAAGATCTTTGACAGGCTCCTGGCGGTCGAGCGGCATTTCGGCCTAGGAACGCAGCTGCGCGTCGCCGGCGGATGGGTTCGTGACAAGGTGAGAGATTCTAGTCCCAAACGAAGAAAATTGGTTTGATTCTCGTGTTCTTCCAGCTCCTAGGGAAGGATTGCTACGATATCGATATTGCGCTGGACAACATGCTTGGTCGCGATTTCTGCGAGAAGGTGAACGAGTATTTGAAGAGCATTGGCGAGGAGACGAAGAGCGTGGGAGTGATACTGAGGTAAGCGTCTATAAGTTTTTCATGGAGACAACCTTTTCTGTCCTTTTGTTTCCCTCCCAGCAATCCTGATCAGTCGAAGCATCTAGAGACTGCAAGAATGAAAATCGAAGATGTTTGGGTTGATTTCGTCAACCTTCGAGCAGAGACATATGCTGATGATAGCCGGATCCCTTCTACCATGGTAAGAATGCTGCTTTTCGAGTCCTTGTATCTTTTGCTTCTGGCTACAGGAATTTGGAACTCCCAAGCAGGACGCAGAGCGCAGGGACCTGACGATAAACAGGTAAACTTCGTCCCAACTTACAGCGACCTGACTTCCAATTTGGCAGTCTGTTCTACAACATCAACACTGGGCACGTTGAGGACCACACGGATAGAGGCAAGTGTGTTTTTAGCTGCAAATCGGAAACTCCATTTATTCCCACTCTCAGGTCTTCGGGACTTAAAGGTCGGAGTAATCGCAACACCGCTTGAGCCACACGTAACCTTTCTCGACGATCCGCTGCGTGTCCTGAGATCTGTTCGATTTGGTAAGAATGTTGTTTGATACTTCAATATTTATCTCGGGAAGCAATTGTTTTTCCAGCTTCACGCTTTGGTTTTGAGCTTGAAGACGATCTTCGGGCCGCGGCTTCCACGGGTGAAGTGAGGGATGCTCTCGAAAGAAAGATAAGCAGAGAAAGAATAGGCCATGAGGTATACCCTTGAATCTCCCTATGAAACATCTCTGATATCTTTCGTTCGATTGAATCAGGTCGAGCTTATGCTTTTAGGCAATGATCCGACTCAGGCGATGGAACTCCTGCTTGACTTGAAGCTCTTTCGATCTGTTTTTACCCCACCGGCACCGTTGTTAGTAGATGGATGGGAGAGGTAGACCGTTCAATGGTTTTGGTGTTGTGCTTATTGGTTTGCAATCTCCAGGTTGTGTGTGCAGCACATTCACGCTGCATGGGACGTTCTTCAGCTCGTCAATGTTAAACTGACCGTAAGCTCGATTAATTTTAAAGTCACATATCTGACTAGCAGCTTAACTGGCAGGCAGAGCATAAGTTGAAGTTCTTGCTAGCTGCCCTCCTCTTTCCATTACAGGATTCAACATACGAAGGAAAGAAGCGGAAGAAGGCTAGCAGCTATGCTCAAATAAGTCGTTTTACTGACTGTTCCAGCTTTGCAGTTTCCAAGCACAAGCTTCATCATACGAGAGTCTCTGAAACTTAAGAATGCTGATGCGGACGGAGTAGGTTCTTCATGTATATCGATATTTGCTACTAACACATTGTTTCAGGTTGTGGACTTGCATCGATCCGCCAGAAAGTTTGACAGGCTCGAGGATGTTCTTCTGTCAGATGCTGCTGAAGTAATTACCGCTCATGCCGCCGCAAACACTCGGGAAGAAGTCCAAAGACTAGAAGCAGGTGACGCTTTTGCTTGGGTTTGTTCCTCATGCGCTGAGGATCGAATTTTTGTAGGATTGGAACTCATGGAAATCAAGGAGTTGTGGCGGGCAGCGTTAGTACTCTCGTCACTCAACGACCTGCTAGAAAACCAAGCCTGGGATGCGCAAGAGAAAGCAAAGGTGTGCACTTCCGTCATGGACTTCATCTCGAAGCAAGGTAAAGTGAACTTCATATGTAGTGAGCACGGTGCGAGTGAAATATACAGGATTGGACGAGTCATGGAACACAAAGCCTCTTCTGGATGGAAAGGAAATAATGGCGGAGTTCCAGCTCAAGGGAGGCCCTGCCGTGAAGCACCTGGTAAGTAAATAGATTATAATCCACTTTGGTTTCCACTCATGTATTCGAGCAATGCAGAAGGACTTGTCAATCCAGTGGCAGCTCGCACACCCGACTGGAACAGCGGGAGAGTGTAGAGAGTGGCTCAAACTAGAACACGCGAAGGGAAACAAGTAATCTGCGCGATTCACCGTCCAAGTGAGTGAAAGTTTTCCCAGTTTCGTGCTCAAGCTCTTTCCATTTCCCAGATTTTTGCGAAGAATACAACCATTGCTAGCTACCAAAGATTTAAATCAAGCCAGCGTCTCGTGAATAAACTGCGCGATATCACTCAAGCACTGGCGCGACGATTTGAGGCGATAGAAGATGTGGAAGACATGAACTCCACGCTTATACAAGAGAACCTTGACCTTCTTCCCGGCGGCGGCCATCCCTTGCGCGTAGCTCATCTGTGCGTCCTTGAGGAGATCATACTCGCCAACCAAAACCAAGCTTGGCGGGAGAGGAAGCGCCGTAATGTCCATCGATCGTGGGCCGAACACGTTGCAAATCGGGTGGTCGCGATCTTCCCCGTCGGGAAGATAGGCCCGCCAATACCAGTCGGTCATCTCCAGGCTGATTATGGGCCCATTCCGGAGCACAATCTCCGAGGGGCTCCTCTCCTGGCTGCCAAAGAAGGGCTGGATGAGAATGCTACCTCTCACGCGCAGTGGATCCAGTAGGGCTTGCTCCTCGGCGATGGCGGCGCGGCACACGACGAAGTGGGCGATGTTGCCGCCGGCCGAATCGCCGCTGAGGAAGCAGCGCGAGAGATCGGCCGAGGCTGGGAGGGCGTCCCTGGCTTCCTTGGATCGCAGCCATTTGAGGAAGTGGAAGCAAGAATCGTGCACGGCGGGGTAGCGATGCTCGGGCGCCAGCGGGTAATTCACCGAGACGACGATGCAGCGCGCGATCTTGGCGAGGCGGCGGCAGAAGATGTCGTAGAGGAGGAAATCCGGGCGGAGGACCGCGAATCCGCCGCCGTGGTAGTAGATCACGACGGGCAGCGACGCGGAGGAGCTAGTGTTCTTGGCGGCGTCGTCGGGGATGAAGAGCCTGGCCCAGCAAGAATCGCCCAGCGATGGCGCCGCGATGTCCCTGGTGGAGACGCCGTAGATCGGGATGGAGAGGGCGGGGAAGCGAATCTCCTCGATGCTGCCCAGCCAGCGGCGGATGGTGTAGTCGCTCCGGCGGATGAGCGCGTTGGCAGTCTTGATGAGGCCGGAGAGCAGGCGAAGCGAGAGCGGCAGGCGCGCGCCACCGCCATCGCAGAGCGCCGCCGCCATAGCCAAGAGCTTCCAAGAGCTTCCAAAACTTGCGAGTGACGAACAAGGAAAAGGCCAAGAAGTAATGAACCTGGGCGGGATCATGGCAGTCGATTATTGCAAATTTTCGGCCACTTATCCGCGAGACTTGCCCGAAATGGAGATTAATTTTTCGCGTGTTCTTCGCTGGGGATTCTTCCATTCTCGCGGTGGATTCTTTGCGAGTGTTCTTCGCGGGGGATTCTTTGCGAGTATACGTTCGCGACCAAGACGTAGGCGCGGGGGTCTCGCCCGAGAACGCGATTTGCCGCCGCGACAACGCTGCCAAGATCGTCCTGGCTCCGGCACGCCGCCAGGAAGCACGACCACTCCCACAGATCGGGCGCAAAGGGCATTGCTTGGATGAGATCCCTGGCGCTGGCCAGGTGCCCCGCGCGGCAGAGGAGATCCACGACGCAGCAGTAGTGCTGCTTGGTGGGCGTGATCGCGAAATCGGTGGCGATGGAGCGGAATCGCGCGCCGCCCACCTCGGGATCGCCCAGATGCCCGCAAGCGATGAGCAGCGATGCGAGCGAGGTCTCGTCCGGGGGGAGAAATTCGAGGTTTAGATCGAAGAAGAGGGCGAGGACGTGATCGCTGTGGTGCCCGGTTTGGGCGTAGGCTGCGAGCATCGTCCCCCAGGAAGCGATGCTTCTCTCCGGCATTTGCGAGAACAGATCTCGCGCTTGCTGCAAATGCCCTCTCTGAGCGAATGCGAGGAGGAGCTCGTTCCAGGAGATGAGATCTCTCTCCGGGATCGAGTCGAAGATCTTGGTGGCCGCCGGGAGATCGCAGGCGCGCGCGTAGGCGAGGAGGAGGGAGTTCCAGGCAATGGTGTCTCGCTCCGGCGCAGCGTCGAAGAATCTCTGGCATAGATCGGTGTCTCCGGCTCTGGCAAATCCCGCCAGGAGCGAGCTCCAGGAGATGAGATCCTTCTCCGGCAGGCGATCGAACAGGCACTTTGCTTCCTCGATCTGGCCGGATTGGGCGTGCGCGGCGATCATCGCGTTCCACGAGACGAGGCTCGAGAAGGGCATCGCGGCGAAGGTCTCGATCGATTTGGGCGTGTTTCCGGCGCTGGCGTAGGCGCAGAGCATCGCGTTCCAGGCGACGAGGTCGCGCTCGCGCATCACCGAGTGGAAGATCTCCTCGGCTCTGGCGATTTGGCCGCTGTGGGCGTAGCGCGCGAGCATCGCCGTCCAGGAGACGGTGTTGTGGATCGGCATTGCGTCGAAGATCTCTCTCGCGGCGTCGGGATTGGGAGAAGCTCCCAGGATCAGGGAGGAAGATACAACATCGTGTTGCGGCATTTGCGAGTAGAGTTCTTGAGCTTGCCCAAAATGCCCTCTTTGGGCATATGCGTGGAGCATCACAGTCCACGAGACGAGATTCACGAGCGGCATTGCATCGAAAATCTGTTTGGCTTGCGTAGATCTCTCCTTTTGCGCGTAGAGATTCAGGATCGTGGTCCATGAAATGAGATCTTTGCCTGGCATTCGAGCAAAGAACTCGTTGGTTTGCAGCAAATGCCCTGTTTGGGCATGTGCTGCAAGCATCGAGTTTAGCGCCACCATGTTCCACTCGGGCATCCCGTCGAAGATCGTCTTGGCCTCGGCGAAGAGCGCATTGCGAGCGTAGCACGAGATCATCAGCGCCCACGAGAAGCAATCCCGGTCTCGCGGATCGATTCGTGCGAAGACCGCCGCGGCATCGAGCGGGCTGCCGTGGCTGGCGTAGGCCTGGATGAGCTTGTTGAGGACGAAGAGATCCGGGCGATGGATCCGAGCGTGGATTGCTCGCAGCTCCGCGAGGCTGGCGCTGGCAGCGATGGCGCGCACGCATTGGGATCGTTGCTGGAGCGTAGAGGGCGCATTCATAGAAAATCAAGCTTAATCGTCGCTAGATCTGGCCGAGAAGCGCGAGATCCTCGTGTGGATTCGCTAGTCCCAATCACCAGTATAGTAGCTCTAGACTAAAGGCACTGCGTTCTTGGTGTTTTGTCTTCTTCGTCGTTGTCAACTAAAGGATGTGATCGTCGTTCTATTGCTGTGCTAGGTCTTTTATTTCGTTGTGGGAGACATGGCGCTCGACGACGGTCTCCCCTCGCGCAAGGAGCTCCGATTCGCTGTCAATGGCAAGCTCGTCGTCGTCCGGGACGCTGATCCGCGCGCCAGCCTCGGGGATTTCCTCCGCGATAATCTGCTGCTGCGAGGTTTGAAGATGCCGTGCCGGCAAGGGGGATGCGGCGCTTGCACCGTCGTGATTTCCTCGCCTAGATCGAGCGATGGGGTGCTGCTGCGGCACAGGCCGGTAAATTCGTGCCTCCGGACGCTCTGCTCGGTGGATGGGATGCTCGTCACGACTGTGGAGGGGATTGGGAGCTGCAAGGGTGGATTGCATCGCGTCCAGCAAGCGCTCGTCAAGCACAATGGCTCGCAGTGTGGATTTTGCACGCCTGGCTGGGTAAGCTAGCGACGTATGATTATCTTGGATTTTTCTTTCTTGTTCATCACAGGTGATGAATATGTATGGCTTGCTGCTTGAAACTCCAAATCCTCTGCCGCAGCAAGTGGAAGATCAGCTAGATGGAAATCTTTGCAGGTAAGGTGTTGTTCCTCCATTTTCCAAGATAGTTTCTTACGTGGGTTTTGTGTGAAGGTGTACTGGATATCGTCCCATTTTGGATGCTTTCCAGTCTCTCGCGTGTTCTTCCGGAGATGGATGCAGCGCAGGAGACATCGAAGAAGTACCAACGTGTAAGAACTTGGCTTCGCTTCGCCAAGACGACGAGCTCGAGATCAGCAAGGGTGGAGTGACGTGGTTCCGAGTCTCGTCCTTGACATCGCTGTACAAGGTTCTCAGGAGCAATGCCGTTCACGACGTGCAACTCGTTTGTGGGAACACGTCGAGTGGAGTTTATCCTCGACAGTTCAAGAGCGTTGTTGTGGACATCAGCTGCATTGACGAGATGCGGCGTGTTAGTATCGACAGTCGTGGCATCCGGCTCGGTGGCGCAGCTTCGTTGAGCGACATGGAAGCAGTGCTGAATTCGAAGAAAGAAGTTTCTTCGAGCTATCGGTCGCTCTTGCAACACGTGAAACGGGTATGTTTCTTTCGATCATCTCTTTCCTCGTTCTAACCAAAGGTATGTTGTGGCACAGATCGCTACACATCAAGTTCGAAACATGGGAACTGTTGCTGGAAATCTCATGATGACGTATCAAAATCTGGGCTTCGTATCGGACGTAGCAGTCCTACTTTTTGCCGCTGAAGCAATTTTGACGATCGCTCTCTCCGATGCAGTTCGGAAAGATTTGACCATCGAAGACTTTTTCAAGCTCCCGAGCGTGGACGAGATTGTCATTGTGGAAATTTTTCTTCCTTTGCTACCAGAGAGTGTACGATTTCTCACCTATAAAGTTGCTCTCCGGCGAGTGAACTCTCATGCTCTACTGAACGCTGCATTCAGGTTCGACGTCAACAGTAGCAAAGGTAGGCAATTGTTTACTCCTATACTTCATACATCCCAACCATGGCTCCCGTCTCAGGCTTGATTCAAAGCGCTCCAGTCATTGTTTATGGAGGAGTTGGTCATTTCCCTGTCCGAGCTAAAAATGCAGAAGCTTTTTTGTGGGGAAAATCTTTCACGGATCCCCAGGTACTCCTCTGCTTTCTTCTATCTATTCAGATTCGATTCTGTCCACAGGTTTGCGACAGTGCTCTCGAAATACTCCAGAAAGAGATTGTTATGGATCCTTCTTATGGAAACACAAGTTATCGCACATCTTTAGTGGCAGCATATTTCTACAAAGCGATATTGTCTTTGTGGCCTAAGGATCGCGTTCCCAGCACGTTGCAGTCGTCAATCTCAGAGGTTTCGGATGAAATGTCTATACCTTGCTGATTTATTCACGTCCTTAATTTTAAATATGCAGTTCTCCTGGCCAATTACGTCTGGAACAAAAAGCTTTGATAAGGTACACATGCTGGTCTTGTTAGCTTGTGCGTGATCTCGTGTTTGGATTTTAAATGACAGGGCGACCCCTCACAATATCCTGTCTCCAAACCTCTGCCTAAGTTATCTGCAATGTCACAGGTATTTTGCTCCAAAGGTTTTTTTGTTGTAATCCTTGTGCAATCCAGGCTTCAGGAGAACTGAAATATGTGAATGATTTCAACTTTGGGAACGAATTATATGCAACATATGTAATTTCTACGGTTGGAAATGCAAAAATAAAAAGCATAGATCCTGCGAGAGCACTCGCAGAAAACGGAGTGGTAACATTTATCTCAGCTGCAACTTTAGCGGGTGCTGGATACAACAACAAAGTGAAGTAAGTTCAGCTTTACGATTTCTCATGCTTTATAGAAGAGTCATGGTACAGTGAATTCGAAGAAGTGTTTGCTACAAGCGACATTCTTTACTGTGGCCAAGCAGTGGGACTTGTTGTTGCGAAGTCGAAGGTGCCTTTCTTATTTACTGTTTTTCTTATCTAACAGAGACTTACCAGAGAGTGGCGGATTATGCTGCGACATTAGTTGACGTGCAGTATATGGATATCAAGAAACCAATTATTACAATAGAAGATGCTGTTTCTGCCAATTCTTTCTTTCATAACAAGGACAGAGAACTTGAATTTCAACAAGGTACACACGCCACTTTTTAAGTCGACTTACCTGTTTTGAATCATTCACAGGATCCGTGACGGAGGCATTTAGTGATTCGGAGGCAATTCTAATAGAGGGCCAGGTATTTGAGGATTGAGAAACTTGTCTGTGCCAAACTAAACGCATTACAACAGGTCAGCGTTGGCAATCAGTACCATTTCCATTTGGAGACCCAACAAGCAGTATGCGTACCGTCAGAGGATGGTTTCATTGAAGTGTACTCGTCCACTCAAAATCCCTCGAAGGTATGTGATGCCATGATGCATTTCTTATAACAAAATCATTTTGGAAGGTCCAAAGCTGCGTCAGTGCTGGACTCAATCGACCTCAACACAAAATTACGGTAAGTTTAACTTGTCTCCCTCTGTTTCTTGTGAACTAGGTTCTTTTCTCAGGTATCTGTCAAGAGAATTGGAGGAGCATATGGGGCGAAAATCAACCGGTCATTGTTAATTGCAATGGCTTGTGCGTTTGCGGCAGACTTGCTCAAGAGGCCCGTACGACTTGTTCTGGATCTTAGCACCAACATGCAGGTTGACATTTTCAATATATTAGTTTCTCCACTTAAAAATGCCACAGCTTGTAGGTGGTCGCAGTCCTTACTTTTGCAAATACAAGATCTCTGCAAGAAAAAATGGTCAAATCACTGGCGTGAAAATGGATATTATCAACAATCATGTGAGCTCTCAAAACTTGTCTCTATTTGTTTGATGTTTCAACCTGAACAGGGAGCTCACTTCGATTTTGAGTATCCAACTGGTTCCACGCTACCAAATTTTATAGATGGCGCTTACAAAATTCCGAACTGGGATCTAAAGACGAAAATTGCACGGACAAATACACCAGCTTGCACATATATGCGTGGCCCAGGTTTGCAAAAAAGTATTTTATTTTTTCTGAGATCCTTTTGCAGTTTTCGTTGAGACCACCACTATGATTGAAACGGCATTAGATCATGTTGCATTTACTCTAGGCCTTGCTCGTGATCAAGTTCGCGAAATTAACATGTACGAGAAAGGCGACGTTTCTTTGAACGGGCAACGGCTTAACTATTGCAATGCAAAGTTAGTGTTTGACGCTATCAAGGTAATGTTTCACTTTTTAATATTCTTTTTCTGGTGCATTACCTCTCGAGCTTTTAGGAGTCAAGTAACTATTTAATCCGTTCGAAGCAAGTGGACGAATATAATTCGAGCAACCTTTGGAGGAAGCGTGGAATATCAATTGTCCCTGTGAAGTTCATCGCAGAGTGGCATGGCCTCCAGCATCTTGCTCTAATCAATGTGCATCCGGATGGAAGCATCAGCATCCATCACTCTGGATGCGAGATGGGACAGGGCCTTGACGTGAAGGTTGCTCAGGTGTGTAAACGTGTCGCTGTTTTGCTTTGTTTATCTCGTATGCTGGTTGGATTCTTTTCAGGTAGCAGCTATGACCCTTGGATCTCTGCAAGTAGATGTCTCCATGGAAGATATTGCTGTGCACACAACTACAACCACCGTCGCCAACAACGTCGCGGAAAGTGGTGGCTCCGTAGCTTCAGAGTTATGCGCAAAGGCCGTGCATGTAAGCTTTAAGAATTCACAGATCTGGATTTGTACTCACATATTCTCGCAGGATGGATGCACTCAACTCGTCGACCGTCTTCGTGGAGTGAAGACCATGTTGGTCTCGGGATCAAAGAGTTGCTCCTGGAAGGATCTCATCAGCGCTGCAGTGAGCTCTGGAGTTGACCTTCAAGCCCGCGGCCGCGTGTATCCCGCTGCCGCTGAAGACGGTCCTTCCCAGTAAGTGTTCCTTTTACTTCCCGAGTTTTGTGCTCTTACACACTTCCAAACAGATACACGTCGTTCGGAGCCGGCGTCACAGAAGTGGAAGTTGACATTCTGACGGGTCTGTATTTTGTGTATTATGGTTAGTGGTGAGGTGATCGACTCATCACAAATTTGTCCTTTCTTCTTTTTTTTTCTCGTCCCGTTTCAGGAGAAACATTCGTGATCCGTGCGGATGTCTTACTCGATTGCGGGAAAAGCTTGAATCCGGCCGTTGACATTGGCCAGGTAAGACTTCTACAGCGCTAGCACTGGAATTAACAAGTAGCTTCCACAGGTTCAAGGCGCTTTTATTCAAGGACTCGGCTACTTCCTTACAGAAGAATTCCACTATGATCCTTCCACGGGCAAGGTAATTATTAGTCTCCACTGTTTTCCTCTTTTCTTATTCTTAGTTCTTGATTTATTTATTTTTCCAGCTTCTAACTGATGGAACTTGGGAGTATAAGCCACCATTTGCCAGGGACATTCCATACGAATTCAACACCGCTCTCCTCCCTAACAGTGAAAATCCTTCCGGCTTCCTTCGCTCAAAGGTACAAAACATTGTCGAACTCACTTGTTGCTAACTTGGAAGTGTCTCTAGTTCTCTGGAGAACCTCCTTATGGCACGGCTTGCAGGCAAGTTTCTCACAATCTTCAAAGAGAAAACTTTTGAGTTTGAGCTGACAAAGTGTTTGCAAATTGCTGTTTGCAGTGCCTTGCTAGCAGTGTCGCAAGCTCTCGCAGCCGCCAGATCGCAGTGGAATGGCGGCAATGGATGGTCTCCTCTCAGCTCTCCAGCAACGCCACAAAACGTAGCCCTCGCGGCTGAGTTTCCACTCTCGTCAGTGAGCTTTCGAGAGCTCTTTTCAATGAATAAATGAAGAACCCTAAAAACAGGGGAAGGCTTTTATTTTAGGGTTTATGCTTGGGGGAGAAGAATGCTCGCGGCGATTCCATCCAGGATCGTCAATCCAGGTGAAAATGCAGCGTGTCGCGGGCGCTAGCGCCGTGCCGCGCTCGCAATTATCAATCAAAGAGCGCGCGAGTCGCGACATTCTTCTTCTGGGAGTCGCGATCCACAGGTATCTTTGCAAGTGGTAGTAAGATATTTATATGATTGGAAGGTATACATTATAGGGACGAGAGGATAGATTTCTCACATCTATTCGCAAGCTCCCCGTGTTAAACACACTCTCGGGAGAAAAACAAAGGGGCAGGGAAAGAAAATATCAGCGCAACTTTACTATAGTACATAGCAGGAAAATGGCCGGGTCGACTCTCACACGTCGATCACTGTGCCTTGACTCGCTGTTGCAGTAGATACTTTTCAACGTACAGCTTCCTGGAAAACAAAGAAGCGTTTTGGAAGATCTGTTCGGCTAGATTTTGTGCAAGTTTGGGTTACCTGGCTGCACTGTCGTCTGATCGCTGGTGCTGTGTTCTTACAGGATTTTCCGTGAACAGCAGCAGTGCCTGGAGAGAAGAAGAAGAACGAGAAACGAGAAACGATCAGCCGTAAGAACTTTGAAATCGTTGGGTGTTTGGAGGCCTACCTTGATGTAATCGTTTGTGTCCAGAGTGAACCTGTGGTACATGCCGGGAGGGAGAACAACGAGGTCGCCTTTCTGGACGTAAAAGCGGATCCATTTGTCGTCGTAATCTCTGATATCCCAGTATCCTGCAAAAACAAGAGTTATTGAGTTTCGCTGAGCTCTCTTTGCTTTTCCAGAGCTTTGTACCGCTGCCATCGAGAATGAGACGGCTCTCCTCCTGGGAGTGCATGTGTTCCTTGAAGAAACCTTTCACTCTGGCGTCGAAGTCGACCATCGCTTCTCGAGAAACCGTTATGACTTCCTGCAACGAGATTGTCAAACATTGATGGATCGAAAGGAAAAAGCAAGTAGAGAACGATGGCGGCGTGGCTACGTACGGAGTATTTGTAGCCGCGGTCGCTCCTTATGTTCTTCAGCTCGGTGTCGGACTCCCAATTATCAACATCTAGCTTCCAGGTGAGAATTCCCAGGCCTGTGAAGAACCAGAAATTTTATAATGCGTTAGCTTCTCTCCTTTGCAGATATGCTACTTTCAAGACTACCATGCACATGAGAGAGAGGGATGGCGCGGTTTGGATGATACTTGTGAGCAAGCTTTTCGTTTTCGTCGGTGCTGTTGTACTCCCAGGCTTGAATCTCCGACTAAACAATCCCCCAGACAAGAGTCAGCTGCAATTCGAAGGTAGAAAAACACAAGAGCTTACTTTCGATGCTTCCATTCTGGCTTCTGTGCAGAAGAGAAGAGCAGGAGCAGAAATATATTTTGAAGATCGTGGAGGGGAAGCAGCAGATCGAGACAAAGGTGGAGTGACAAGTCGGAGGAGCTTAAACAGTGGTGCGGCCTAGTTGACTTGCTCGAGGTGGGACTTTTTCTTCCTCGCCGCTCACATTGTGTCTTCTTTTATAGATGGCTTTAACCTCGGCCAGGAACACAAGAAAAGCTCAAGAGGAAGGGGAAGACCGGTGACTGGTCCAGTGGGGGCCCCAAGGACGAGCATAAGATAACACTTCGCACCAGTGCTGCTATGACTAGTCCTAGCCGCAATGCTGGGATTTAAATGCGGGAACGAGCAAAGCACAGTAGCTACCAGCAGCGGCAGCAGAAAGAGAAAGAAAAGCAACATCTATGGTCCGGTCGCGAGCAGGAGTAGTTTGCTCTTCGCTGATTCCGAGGAAAGTTATGGAAACAGGAATGGAAGTGATGGAGACGGACGGAAAGAAGACGGGAAAAAAAGTAAAAACAAAACGAAGCAGAGTGGGGGTGACTTTAAAACTCGCGACGAATCGAAGGAGGCTGAAGAGAGGAAAGCAAAACCGACATGCAAGCTTAAGTTTCGACGTAGAAAAGGGGAGTAGTGGCTGCTGCCGGTGCGGGTGCTGCTTCACGTCAGGCAACTGATATAACGGAAAAACGAACAGAATTGGAGCAAATGGCTGGAAGAAAACAAAGAGCTGAAAATGGAGGACAAGAGATCAGGTTGGAGCGAGACGGTGCGAGCGAGTAGCATGGCGTCACGTGGGTGGATTCAATGGCCTCGCTGCATGCACATTAAATGCTCGCCAACACGCTGCTGCTGCTGCAACTTGGATCGATCGGCTGTTTGGTGGTGAGAGAGAGCTTTCCTTCTCGGACATGCTACAAACCATCAGGTACAAAGATCGCTTCTGCTTCTGCTTTTCATGCCATGCATTGATTCTCGGACGGTTGAGGCTTTTGCCCGTGGTCTTTTTGTGTTCTTTTTTTGGCTTGAACGCTTCATTTAAGTATCGTGCCTGCGTTTCTTTACTCTTTCCCCTGGCATGTTTTTGTACCATGATGGCTTCTCATTGCTTGCATTTGCAGGACAAGGGAGAGCTTCTTTTTCCCAGAGGGAGACTACTATAGCACTATCAGTTCAAGTAAAACGGTACTTGGTCTCCTGGGTAGCCGGAGTTGAGTGCTGATTTCGATGTGGTCCTTTTTCCAGGAGCCGTCGCAAAACGTCGCAGGATCTAGCGGGGTACTGGGAGTCGGCTGCCAGTTTCTACGATGCTACGCGATGTGATTGTACGAGAATCACGCTTGACAAGATCTGCGCAAACGAGAAGAGCAGGCGATTGATTTTCCAAGCCTGAAACTCCGAGAGAAACAGCATGAGAAAGTCTATGTTGTCCCCCATGTGAGATTAGCATGTGGAACCGAGCGCTCACATGTTTGTGCTCGGCTTTCTAGGCCGGTTATATTCTTTGGATCGGCATTGGGTGGCACGTATACGAGCGACGATTCGGCTTACGTACGGATCTGGTGCTTAAGTACACGAAACTAAGGAAAGATTCTACGACGGAGTCGAAGTTTACCTCGAAAGTATATGGCACGGCTTGCCAAAATAGCTATTTGCATGGCTTAAACCCCTGGAACTCCTACAAAACGCTCGCGTGAATTAAAGCCTCGCCACCACGAACTCGAAAGGGTTGATATTATAGACTCTTTGTGATTCGAGGGGAACTTATCATCACACCACCTATAGAGCATGCTTTTTCTAGTTCTAGATTATATGAGCCAAATTCTGGTTTGGTTTTCGGGAAAAGCTTTGGTGTTTTTCGTGATACTTGCAATAAATATCTAGATATGTGCATGTATTAAAATTGAATGAAGTCATGTTGTGAGGAGTCGTAGTTCAATAGTTTAGGAATTGTTTGGATTTAGTGGAAAGTCAGAAGCTACATGAAACTACCGACCATGGGCACCAGGATGAGGTTTCTTACAGTCTGATTGAGATGGGGTGTTTGGAAGAAAGGAAATGCAGGAGTTGAAGTGGCAGTTACCTGCATGATGTTTCAAGTATGGTGGTGTCAAGTCTTCCTAGAAGACTTGACAAACTGAAAGGGAAAAAGATCATGGCAAGCAGCAGATGACTTTATTGTTTGCTGGGCCTGCAATCAAGTCTTCTAGGAATGAACTCACATGCAAGTTCAAGTCAAGAAGATTTTCTCTCTTTTTTTTTTTGGTTTTCTTTTCTCTGCTATAAAAATAGCAGGATTCTAACATGAAGCCTCAGAGAAACAGCAGAGGAAGTGTGTGTGTGCCACGATCCTTCCTACAAGTAGTTGTTTATCTTTCAGTAAAAGAATGTTGATGTTTATCTTAGCCCATAAGTTTTGAGTTGAGAGTGTCCACGGCTTGAAATGTGCCACCGCCTTCACTTTGCTGACAAGAAAAAGAGAGCAAACCATGTAAATGGCGTTCATTTGTACTTAGACTTACTGCGTAGAAATTCACTGCCAGGAAGTTTGCATATCGATTTCCAGATGATTTCGCGCAAACGTCGAGCATTGCGAAAAGGGACTGGCCGTGATCTTTGCATTCCCTCGGTTCAAACGGAGTTGTGGGGAAATAGTTCTCAACGAAAAGTGAAACGGAGCGAGAAGCTAAAGGTGGCGATTCATCACGATTTCTACAACTCCCATTTTCCATCCCATCGTCCCCATCTACACAAATCACAAGTTTAACAATGACTCCACAGGAAAAGAGATGGATTTGCTGCAAGCTTACATTGATTTTCAGACGTGTATCTCCATTGGTAAGCGATGCCTTCGGTGGCTTCTTTAGCCTGTGACGAGGTGAACACGAGCAATCTCTGGTTGCTTGCAATCATGTCCGCTAGAGTTGGCCAATCTCCACCCGACTTTGGCATCTTTGAGACTGGGAACCACAACTTGTCAAGCCCGGCCGCCTTGAAGACGTTGGTCACACCATTTTGGGTGCGAACATAATCTTCAATGAAGATGGTGATAACTTCTCTAGGATTTGCTGCTAGAAAAGCCTCAACCTCGCGCAGCGTCTCTACTGCCGGTTGCTAAAGGAAAGAAGGCAAGAAAAATGTAAAACAAAGGTCCAGAGGCAGCTTAGACTTACAAAAGCCGTGAAATCATAGCATATCCCTCCAAAAGAATGGCAGAGCCAAATATCATTTTTAAAGTCGTATAAATCCAGCATCAAACCCCTCACTCCATTCTGCATAGTGGCAAAAAACAAAAGCTTCAACATTTCAGAGGATATTGAGCGAACCTGGAGCTGACTCGTGACGGTGTCATCCTGGTTAGTGGGAGCAAATCTGGGGACTGGAAATCTTTGCTTCTCAGTTGAGATTGCAAAAGAATTATGGGTGGTAAGCCATGCATACTTGTTGAATGGCAGATCTGTTCGAGCCTTTGAAAAAGTAAAAATAAATGAAAGCGTTATGGAAGTTCTAGCTAGCCAGGAACGCGTAGAATACCAGCAGCGTTGCATTAGAGCGTATGCAAATGGGTTCTATGATTCCCGCGGCTGCGCAGGAGCTACAGTGAAGACCAGTGGCACAGTCCTCGTTATTGAAACATCTCTCTCCAATCTTGCAGGAAGGATAAAGATGGGAAAAGTTTGCATGAAAACGGATACATAGGATAGAACAATTACCTTGCATGAGTGATTTGAGCATGCTTGGGCGCCAAGGAGGGAGAGGAGGAGGACCAATGGCAGCATTTCCTCAGCCATGAATTTGGTTCTAGGTTAACTCCCCCCTAGAAAAATGCCGTCGTTAGACTACACGACAATCATCTTGGACCAACAAACGAGGTTTTAATATGCTTTCTTAAATTTAATCTTAAAGAAAATATTCTTAGTATCTGCTATTTGTATTATAGATAAGTATTGGTATATTTCATAGACTTTACTTTCATACTTTAAATTCAATAATTATGCAATCTTTCCTTTCAGTTCTAAAATTAATTTCTGGGAGATTATTTGTTCTTAGCATTGAGTATCAAACTCATTAATTATCAGTTATACTTCATAGTTTAGTCCCAGTTTAGTCACAACTATTAGAAATTTTATCTTGGGTGCTATAAGAATTATTATAAAAATATACAATATTTTTGGTTTGTTTAAGCAAGACTTAGAATAAGTTTTAATATTCTAGGATTTTACCATTTAACAGTTTTTATTTATTTTATTAAATTTATATTTACAATTTATAAATGTTCCTAAATCCTTTCTAGTTTATTTTAGAAACTAAGTGTAATATGATTAATATTATGTATATAAATTATAAATATGTTTAAGAGTTAAATTTTTGGGCTATAGTTAATGTTCCTTGTTTCTTACTCAAAATAAATTGTTATACATTGCAATGTTTAATTTTCTTAATAGTAAGTGTTATTCTTACTTATTAATCTAATTGATCAAATAAAGTTTATAATTATAAGCATGTTGTAATTTATAAATACAAAATTAATCTTATTGCATATCAACCATTAGATGATAAAATAAAAAATAATATACTAGAAAGGGTTTTAAATAAATTATAAATACAAGATTAATCTAAATGAATAACAACCATTAGATGGTAGCTAGAATATTGCTTAAGAAAACAAAAAATGCTGTTACATGGTTATTAATTATGAAATATACTAAACTCAATCCTTAGAAATGTGCATACTTGATTAACTCAAAAACCTTAGCTTATATACAACCCTTATCTATTAAAATCCCACTATTGGAAGCTATCAAGACTGGATGGCAAATAAATATAGCTCATTTTGCCTATAATAGATTTGTACTAGAAATAAAAAATATTGCCTTATAAGTAGGCAAGGGAAGGCAAGTGAAGATAAGAGTCTTCATCTTTTTGCGGCACATTTACAAGTATTACACAACTTAAGAGAATCTCATGCCTCACATTGCCATTGAGCCACCACCTAATATCTCTCATAAGGGAGATAACTAGGGATGTGGATGTAAAGGAAAATCTTGACAATACAAATTAAAGTAACAAAAATTCTCTTCTAAAAAAAACTTCCCTTTAGAAATGAAAATCCAAACTATGAGACCTCCAAGATTCATTCCGCAAAAATCCAATGGCTAAGTATGCTACAAAAAAGCTAAATGCAGCAAGTACAGTGATAAAACACCACACCCAGATCAAGAACAGAGTTATGACTTGTCTATGTCTATAGAGATAACTCTGATGCTGATACAAATCTCTTCAAGCATCGGGAAAGTGACGACACTAAACGAATGATGGATGTTGAAGTTGTGGAAGAAATTTCACAATTTATAGGCTATAAAGTCCAGCACACAATGCACTTACAAATGTTGCAAAACTATTGACTGTAGATACAACTAATGAGGCAAATTTAGGCCAAAAAGATCACGGCCAAGAAACTCAACAGAATAAAGAGGATGAGGCTAGTCTAAATGAACTAGAGGAGTACAAGCTAAGTCTTCTTGAGTCCACCTATGCATTTGATAGTGACACACCCTTGGCTGATTAGTTTAACGAGATGAGGTAGCCACAACAGCAGTAGATACCGCAACAACACTACAAGGTCAAGGCTAATTGCACCTTCACTCACAGGACCACGAGTTAGTTGAGTGAGCCAATAGATGAAAGAGTTTGCTCAACACATCAAAAGAGGAGGCAATCAATCAATCGACAAGCTAATGCAGCCGGTAGAAGACAAAGAAACAACAAAATACCATGTGCAAGTCTTGAGCTACTTCAAGATAATCACTAAGAAAGTGGATGAAATCATAGGCAAGCAAAATCATTAGTGCTACATAATCTAAGAACTCAAGAGTGCAATTCTAGCTTCCACATCCACCAATGTAAAGTGCATCAGACACCAAGAGTAGCGTATCAGTCACCAAGAGTAGTGCATCACTATGTCCAACCAGGAAAATTAGATCATACGTTAGGAATTTAACAATCTATGTTGAAGTGTTGAGCTTGTCACTATAAAGACCAAGCTTAACAAATTAGAGTAGGATTTAGAGAATCTAATTGCCTAAGGACAGGTAGTAACTTTGTCATGGGGAGTGATGAAGAAGTAATGTTTTATCTTGTATATCATCTTAGGCAGAGCAAAAAAAGAAACTTTAGGCAAAATGAAGTTACGTTTAAGCTTAAACATCCAAAGAAGCTAGACTCAACCTAAGCAACACTTGTCATAAACAAGCGAGAAACAATTAGGAATGAATATAATATTTAGACATGCTAGAAAACTCACTATTATATGCATTTGCTTTGAAGTAATTATCTTTTCTCCTGTTTATGATTATTTGTGCAAAATAGAGTTGAGAAAGTGATATGTGTTTATCTTTATTCATGCTTTTGGGGTTTTATAAGCAATTAAAAAGAACGACTTGAGAGACAATCTATATTGATTCAAATATAAAGGGAAAGGGCTCATGAATAAGAATGCACCCCTTTTCCAATTGATTAAAAATCTTAGGATATTTGAGGTTAAGTGTCTTTGTATTTGAATAGTATTAAGCTAAGTGACTTCTTGAGAAATCCAAATTCAGAAGCTTATAG